GGGCAACGCCAAATACCAGTCGTCTGAAGTGCTCAGTGGAAAATAAAACTATCTCGTATCATAGACATTTTCGAAAAGATACGTATGTCTCGGCTCGAATCATATTACGGCGTTTCACCGTGAGTTATAGAGTTAAATATCAATAGCTCAATCAACAACTTCACACATTTCGAAAAATCTTTAGACTAGAAGCCCATCCCACCTCTCATTTGATGCAGTTGGGGTTTCACACGTGCTTAAACTTGTTAATGACACCGTTGATAACTGACCCAGACGCACACCTCCGCGTTGTCAGCCACCCGCCTGCCCGCCTATCGTTCGCAGAGATACGAATGCTGCGATACAAGTGGAGAGCTTTGTTTGTTGGAAGAAAATGCGCGACTCCTCGACCCTAATTAAAACCCAATTTACACTTCTTAAGGCTGGCTCTGCGGCCTTCCGTGCTGTAGTTTCGAGTGTAGTGTGCGGCCAGGAAGAGAAACCTCTTCCTTCCTTGAGTACCTCTTCCTTCCTTGAGTGTAAATAGTGGTGCTCCCCCTAACGCCGCCGTCGCATCATCCGCTACCCCCTACTCGTTCCTTGCCCCGCTCCCCCTCTATGGCCCCTTCCCCCATTGGCCTGGTTTAGTTCCGCCGGAGGCTGCGCTGGGGGCTCGCCATGGGCGGGCCTAAAGCTTGGGGGGGGGGGGGGCGTCACAGACACACGTGGTGGCCGCGGCCCCCCCGCTCTATGGGCGACGCGCGTCGTGGCGTGGCAGCTGTTGGCAGGACACTCTCGGGCATTTATTTCCCCTGCGAACCCCCCCCCCCCCCTCAGTGCCCAGGTTTACTACGAGTTTACTATACGTTGATGACGCTTGTGATTTGGTCGGCTCTCGTCTCCCGCCCCGCCACGCCCCGACGCCCCTCACGACGCCCCTCACCACGCCCCTCACCACGCCCCCCGTGCAACATCGGTGGCTTTGCTGCGCGCGGTGGTGAGGCTTTTCTGGCTTTCATTACCGAGCGTTTTTAGCGTTCGCAATTAGACCGTTGCGCCACAAGTCGGCCGCGGATGACGCCGCCGTCCACCCCGAGCGCGGTGCGCGCGCAACTACCTCTCACACGGCGCAGTACAGCGGCCGGTCCGTCCGCGCCCTTCAGCCTCGCACACTTGAATGGAGACCGGCTTGGCCCGCAACGCCGCCGTGTGTATCCTTTTGGCTTCGACGGGCAGGTCAGAGATTATTGTCTCGTGTGCGGGCGGGGGGAGAGAGAGGGCTCCGCGAACCCCACCGCCGCTGTCGGCCCGCCAAAACGGTGAAAAGGAACGTTGTAGTTCCTAATTTTTCAAACCTCCCTTTCCTCCGTATTCCTCTCTCATTCATTTAGAACGCCCCCCCGGTCCGGCCCCGTCGCAGGGGCCCTGCGGGCGCCGCGGGCTCTTGTTGGCAGCGGGAGCCCGGTCTGGTGGCGGCTAGACGCGACAACGCGTTCGAGTGGCTCTCCCCCCGGGTGCATCTGTTCGCTCTCTTTCTCCGTCGCTCTCCCCCGTGATGTATACTCCCGCGCCGCGCCCTCGCCGGGGGGGGATGCATTTTCGGAGCCCAAACGACGACGGCGGCGGCGGCGGCGCCCGGCAGCAGCACGTGCGTGCAGCCCTCTAGGTTGTGTGTCCGGGGGGCGGGAGGGGCGGGGCGGGGGGAGTCGGAAATAACTCGTGCTGCTGCGGTCCGACCCCGGCGCAGCTGACGCAGCCTCAGTGCGCCCTGCGCCGCTGCCCCCGCCGCCGCCGGGCCGACCCTCCGCGGCCTCCGCGGGGGTCTCGGTCTCGCGGGGGCGCCCAAGTGTAAGCGCGCCCCCCGGGCCCCGTATCGAGCCGCACTGGCGCCATGCGACTGAGGCGCCGCCGCCCCTCCCCGCAAACGCCCGGGGCGAATACAAAGGTGGCAGTGGCGGCCCAGTTTCTAGCTATTTGCCTTGCACAACAGAAAATGTCATCAAAATCCTTCCTCACCCCGGCTTTCAGGCTGCCGTCTGGTTTCTAACAGTGCTCTCCCCCCTGCGGGCTCCCTCACCCTGGCGCCTAAACTCGGGCGCACCCTCCGGGGGGCGGGGCAGAGAGACTTGCGCGTTATCTCTCGAAGGCCACCTTTACGGAAAAGTTTGTCCGTCTGGTGGGGCAGGCCTGCCCGGCAGGGCGGCGAGCTGGGCCAGTAGTGGCGCGCCCCGCCCGTCTCGAGTGTATGCCCCTGCACTTGACGCGCGCGGTCGTCTTCGCACTCAAGGTCGCAGCTCCGCGAACGGTACACCAAAGGCTCTCTAAGAGCGCCGTGGCGTGTCACGTCGTCGCGCTCTTGCCCTACACGACGTAGCCGCGCTACTCGTCCGACTGCATGCCCCACTGTCATAGTATGCTAATTCGTGGATGATGGGAAGCAGTTCATACCTTACCACTTCACCTAGCTCGCCCGGCACGTCGGGCTATTATCGGTGTGGGTTGTCGTCAGGCGTCAGACCATACCGGCCGACTGATTCAGGAGATAGCTTTCGTGTACCTCCTCAGCTTGTCACACTCATGGGGCAACGCCACTTCAACACTCTGCAAAATCGGTCGGCAGTTGCCGGTTTTGATCTGTCAAATCTCTCGAGAGATCGCCAAAGCGATCTTGTGTGCTTTGCTTGATTATGCTTTTGCTTATCTCGTTCGTTTTTGTTGTTCTTTTCATTTTCGTTTCTTGGGCCGAGTACATTACTGCGCTCTAGTCTCATTGCTGCGTTAGTTGAGGTGGGTTCGGCCCGCGGCAATGTGTGGGGGTGCCTAGAGCACATCTGGCCCGGCGAAGGCTCCAACTGCTTCATCGGGATGCGTGGTCGCGTACCGAGAGGGAGCGCCGTTCAAAGTCCCCTGGAGGTGACCGCAGGAGGGAGGTGCGGTACTTGTCTGTACCCGACTCACGTTCTAAAATACTAGCATGAAATGCTACACACGCGTTATGAAATGCTACACACTAGTTAAGACGCTAAACAACGCGTTCTGAAATACTACACTCGCATCTACTTCAATTTGCCCGGTGGGGGAAAGGGATATTCCTACGATTCCTGTGGACACGACGATAAGAGACAAGTAAAAGCGTCGTATGCCTTTTGCCTGCAATCAGATTTAACTAACGTTCGCAGGCTGCAGAGAGGACCTATGGATCACTGCATTCGTATATAGAGGAGATGTCGTTGGCCTCCTCTGTGATGTAAGGGGGGGGGGCGGTAGTGTTAACGTGTGGTAATGAACTGAGTGGAGTTGCCGGTGACTGTACTCGCGCCAGCTCTTGTACCGTCTCTTACACGCGAAAACTGATTATCGCTCGATGACAAAGTGTCGTCGTCTTCTTCTCGCTTTGGTCTGATGGAACCCGTTTTGCCGATTTGTCGAATCTTTCACTGTCATCCTGGTCGCTACGCGGTGGGCCGGTTAGCACCAGACCGGGACCAGGGTTTGCTTTGCCCGTCGTGGGGGTTCAGTGACCGGGCCAGCCGGGCCAGCCGGCGACACGCCGTTGTAGACACCGGCTCCCTGGGCCAGGACGTGCCGGGGGCCGGGCCTCGGGCCGGGCCTCCTGCTGTCAAATGTGATTTGTCTCTCCTCTTGGCTGTGGTTGATAAAATGAGAAATAATACGAGTAAAGAGGCAGATGTAAGACCTCTACGCTGCTGTTGCTGACATGCTGCTGACATTGGAAAAGGACGTGGAACACGGGGTCGTGAGGTGGGTTATTCCTTTGCTGTATGTGTGTGTACACTATGTATACACAGCCCAACCTTTCGGAGGTGTCGAATGAGAGAGAGAGAGAGAGAGAGAGACACACAGAGAGACAGAGCGAGAGAGACATATATATCTAAACAGGAAGCCTAGTGCTGCTGCTGCCTCCGCCGCAGCGACCGGGCGCTGGCTCCAGCCGGGGAGGTAGGCCAGCCGCACGCACGGCGGTGCAACGGGCCGGCGCGCCTCCAGGCGCTCTCTCTGTCTCAGTCTGTCTATCTCGCTCTCTCTCTCTCTGTCTCACTCTCTGTCTCACTCTCTCCAGCGCTGCGCTCGGCTCGCCTGACGTGGCAGGCTCGTCCTTATCTACGGCGCTGGTATCGCTTGTCCGCCGCCAGTCCAGACTGCGATAACCGATGGTCCTTGGCGGCGACGCACCCTCTCATGTCAGCAGTCCAGGACCCTACACTGCTTCATCACTGGACTTGGACAGTGCCCAGTTCGCCGACGTTTCCCCCCTCCCATACGTCGTCCCCCACTCTAAAAACGTGGTGGCCGCTTTGCTTGCCAAAATATTGGCAGTCCCTTTTGACTGCTGCCAAATTTCGGCATTCATTTATAGAGAACGACAATTTTACGCCTCTTTTTGGCCGCCTTAGAACATGCCAGAATGTGTGTCCTCCGACGAAAGAACGCCAAAATGTTGCATTCAAAGAGAACAAAAAGAGGGGGGCCAAAAATTGACAATCTTTTGAAAGAACGCCAAACACTACCAACGTCGATTCGATCTGGTACACCCGGTACAGACCATGGGGAGAGAGAGGGAGACTCATGGAAAAAGTAAATGACGTTGTCGTGCTTGTAATATGAACCACTACGTTCCATTTGATAATCCGCTGCCGTGGGGGAGGGGAAGGGGGGGGGGCGTATGACCCACCACCTCATATGCAGTAATTGGATTACGTCGGAGACCGGCCACCGCCTGCCCCACCCCGGTGCTGCCTGTGGCCCTGCCGCGCCCGGCTCTAAATAAATGGTATGGCGCTGTACTAAACGGATCTTGCCAACTTGAGCTTGCGGGGCGCGGGGCCGTGCCTGCCCATGTCATCCCATTAACGAAAGCAAATGTACACCTGCCCTCCGTCGGGGAGAACGAGATGCCGTAGGCTACAGAGTGGGGAATGTGCCCCCCTTTTCCTTGTCTCTACATGTGTTCGTTTTTCGTTTTAAAGGAATGATTTCTTTAAAAATGAGTAATAATAGTCTTTGTCTACTGTTTCCGGTCGCAGGTCCTGATGTCCAACGAGCCTTGGTCGCTGCCGCCCGCAGATGGCCTGTACAACCCCGAGAATGAAAGAGAAGCCTGCGGCGTCGGCTTCATCGTCTCCATCGATGGCGATCGCTCTCACAAGGTAAGCGGAAAGCTCAACGATTGAGCCCCAATTTGCGGCCCCAAAAATATATTTCGCTTGTTCATTCTCTTTCGCGACGCGCGACTCCTCCAAACATCTCTTCTTCCTTTACTAAGACTTTCCACTTCTCCCAAGACTGTCTCTACCAAAAGGCAAAGTACCCCGCCTCCTCGCGTGCAGAACAAGAGCGGGCGCTTTTCTGTTAAATTACCTCGTCTGTTTTCCCGCACTATCGACAGCACTGACCTCACTCACTGACCCCGGCCGTCCAAACTGGTCCGACCGCCCACGCGACTCTTATCTGCTGCGCGAGTCGTTATAACAAATATATATATTTGCTTGGCGCCTGGCGCCCCGCGTGGGATTTTGAAGACGAAATATTCCCGTTTTCTTCCAATAATAATAAACAATTTTGTTTTTGTCTTTCAGATTCTCCGCGATGCGGAGAAGTTGTCGATGCGTATGACCCACCGTGGCGCGTGCTCATGCGACAATGACACCGGCGATGGCGCGGGCGTGCTCACGGCCATCCCGCACGAGCTGTACGCGGCGGAGCTCAGGTGAGCGCGTGCGTGCGTGTGACTGGTGTGCGTGTGACTGTGTGTTCGTCACTGTGTGTGTGCCCGACTCATCCTTGTCACAGGGGAAGAAACGAACGGTCCGGCGTGCGCGCACGGCTGTGGGTTTGCGCGAGCGATGCGCGAGCAGGACACGGTCTCAATGACACTCTCCTGCTCCCCTGCGAGCCTTTCGCACTCGCAAGACGAGACAGAAATGGTACTCTAGTTGTTTCGCCGGGGACTGCCCGGTCCCCGGAAACATACTATCCTAGTAATAATAATAATAAATTTACCATTATTCGATAGTACTCGGAGTAAACACTGAATAACTTGCTGCTCCGACACGCTAGCGAGCCCCTTTTCCTTCTCACTCGGCCACTCCGCCGCGGCAGCCGCATCCCCGCTGATCGCCTCGCTTTCCGACCGTTTTGCAGGGCGACGCAGAAGGTGGAGCTGCCGCCCCTCGGCCGCTACGCCACGGGAATATGCTTCGCGGACGCGACGAGCCGCGCGCAGTGCGAGGAGCACTTCGCCAAGCTGGCCCAGGAGCAGGGCCTTGCCATCCTGTGCTGGCGCGACGTGCCCGTCGACTCCAGCAAGATCGGCCTGATGGCGCGCAAGAGCGAGCCCCTCATGCGCCAAGTGTTCCTGACCGCGACCGCCGGACAGACCTTCGATGATGACGCCCTCCAGCGAAAGGTAAGCACAGAGACGACCGAGACTACGTATACATATTGTCCGAAGCGCCCTCGGAGACCCAGGGCCAATTCGATTGTCTTATTCCTCCTCCAAAAATCCATCCCTCCCTATTCGCCCTCTCTCCTCCCGCCACCGCCCCTCTTTCCCCTCCTCCGCCCCCTATTCCCTCATTCACCCCCACCCCCTTCCTGGTCTTGCGCAGAGGTTGGGAGGGGGAGGGGTGGATCTGGTCTGGGGTTGGCGAGAGAGGCCCACTTCCATGACGTCATTCCGGCCGTGACGTCATCCCGCTCCGCTCTGCCATTTCCAAACGTCCTCTGCTGAGAGAGAGGGGCGGGGGGTGCGAACGAGTTGGATTCAAGGGCGAGTTATCGCTTGATTTTGTCAAACACACCCATGTGGTCCCGGCCGGAAGTCTAACAGAGGCGCTACACACCTCACTCTTCACTATCGTTAGACTTGTCGTCGGTGGAGGGGAAGGGGGGGGATCCACCAACCGGTGCTGGCCGGGCGGACGCGGGGTCAGCTGGATCATCTGTATCCCCCTCCGCCCCCCAGCACCCTCTCTCGCCCCACCCACCCTCCTACCCACGGCGGGCTGCCTCCTCGTGCCCCTCACCCTCCTCACCCAGCCTGCCTCTGGTGGGCCTCGGTTTGCGTTCAATACGTGTGACGCAAGCGTGGGCGTTTGGGTAGGCCTGATCGCGGCGGGGTGGGGTCGGGGCTGGGGATGTGGTATGGGGAGGGAAACGCAGGGGTGGAAGGGGGGGGGGGGACTGGATGCAGATTGATGTCCATCCCCAGAGGTTTCTGGAGCGGCGGGGAAGGTTGCCCATGAGCTGACCTATGTGAAATAAACACTTTTAATTTTATCCATTACTGGCACTAACAGTTTGTCCCTTTGACAGGTTTTTATTTTGAAGAAAGTAGCTACGCACAATGTTCCTGGAGCTGGACGACGATTTTACATCTGCTCTTTATCAACCTCTACAGTTGTGTACAAAGGACAATTCACAGCTGATCAACTATGGGCGTATTATCGTGACCTTTCTGTAAGTTTTTCATGTGTTGTTTTACATTTTTTACTGCTGATAATTTTTTTATTCATTTTTTTAATCAATTATTTGTTTTCATTGATTATCAGAATGCAGCCTTTGATACGTACCTAGCTCTTGTGCATACTCGCTTCTCGACAAACACGTTTCCCAGCTGGGAAAGAGCTCATCCTCTGAGGTAAATGACATACATGTATTGCAATGATGATGATACTTCATCAGATGTCTAAAACCATTTTTGTTTCTTAAGTTTTGCTTCAATAACATTTTCATTTTCTATCTGTGCAGATATCTTGCTCACAATGGAGAAATTAACACTTTACGTGGAAATGTGAATTTTATGAAAGCTCGAGAAGGTGTGATGTCAAATAAGGAATTTGGAGACCTGAAGAAACTCTATCCTGTTGTAGAACCAAACCTTTCTGACTCTGGTGCCGTAGATTGTGTGCTTGAGTTCATAACAATGGCAGGAAACCGATCTCTTCCTGAGGTAAGAGTTTTAGCCTTCTTGATTTTTGCTAAATTGGAAGTGTGTATTGACTTTCCTGTTATGGACTTTACTTCTGCTTTCAGGCTGTCATGACCATGGTACCTGAAGCTTGGCAAAATGATAAGACCATGCCAGAAGAGAAGAAGGATTTCTACCATTGGTCTGCTTGTGTAATGGAACCTTGGGATGGCCCTGCACTGCTGACATTCACAGATGGACGATACATTGGTGCCATTCTTGACCGGTAAGCAAGTGTTCCTATTTTTATCTACCTTAAAAGTGTATTACAATTCCAGCTCTAGAAACTTTTATATGCTTGCTCATACATGTTTTACTTTCTTTGATTACTTTTTAATTTTTAAATAATTTTTTGTACAGGAATGGTTTGCGCCCATCGAGGTTCTACGTTCTGAAGGACAATATAATGGTCATGGCTTCAGAGGTTGGAGTGTATGATACTGATCCAAGTAATGTGTTACTTAAGAGCCGATTAAAACCAGGAAGAATGTTACTTGTGGATACAAAGCAGAAGACCATAATCCAGGATGTTGAATTAAAGCGTCAAATTGCTCTTTCACGACCTCATTCATCTTGGCTGAAGGAGGAGGTGAGATTCTTAACTGCTAATCCAATCTAACATTACTTATTAGGTTTTGATGTCATTCATCAGAATTGAACTCATTATAATCCTTCTCCTTAGATCCTTAAGAAAGTTGCTAATAGTTCTGGAAAAATTTTTGTTGACATTTAAGGGATTTATTTATTGTTGAATGAGGTATTCCAAAGTCACCATTCAAGAATTTCTCCTGAGAGTACTTCATTGCAGGGTCACGTTGGTGGCAGGGAAATGTTTGTTTCCTGGTTTCTTGCATTGCAGTAGTAAAAGGTCCTCCTTAAGTTTGATTTATTTGCCTGTTTCATGGGGTACACATTGATTCTACATTCTAGTACTAAGACGAATTACTTCATTTCTCCCAGAAAGGCTTTTATAAAAAGTCTCAAAATCCAAAATCTAATGCAGAATTTCCTTTTTTGTAATTTTCTTTTGGCTGCTGGTGGTGATAATCTACAGAGGGTGAGTTTAGACGATAGCACAAATATGAGTGTTCCCCAATGTATATAATATTTGTGGTTCATAGTATTTTGGCTTTACACCATCATGAAGTTATAACATCTACTTAGAGAGCTGTGCATGCATTATAAGTTGTTTGTAGTTAGTCTTTTACCCTCATTCCTCTTATCCATCTGCAACAGTTTTTTTTTCCTATCAAATTTTATTTAGTGGATTTGTTTGCATTATATATTGTTTGTAGTTAGTCTTTTACCTTCATTTCTCTCATCCATCTGCAACCGTTTTTTTTCTTTATAATTTTTATTTTTTAGTCGATTTGTTTGGTTACTTCCTGTGTGTTAGGAGAGATATGGTTTGGTGTTGAATATTGCACTTTTTAGTTGTTGACTGCCTGTGTTCTCCCTGCTGTTTTCTTATCTATTCTTCAAATGGGATAGTAGTCTGTTTTGGCTGATTTCTAATTGATTATTTGATATATTAGTGTACTTGGCTACTTCTTTTGTTTTTTTTATACCCTAAGAATCTGCTCAGTAGTGAGTGTGCTTTAATTCTATTCTGACAGCTTCCTGTAAATTAGAACTTTGCTCACAGTTTGTTGTTTGTTTTTTGTTTTTTGTAATTTTGTTTTTTCATTCTGGTCTGGTAACAGATTTTAATGGCTGATCTCTATAAAGCCCACAAACCTACTTCCGAGGATGCAGCTTTGTGCAAACCAATTATTGACAAGACTGCCACAGCTCCTATTCATACTGAAGAAGAGAGGCTTGTAGCTGTTGGACAAATGTATGGAGGTGATAAACGACTTGCATTGTTTGGCTATACTGTTGAGACAATTACAATGCTACTCATGCCAATGATCAACACAAAGTGAGTTACTTGTCTAATGTCATTTAATCTAATATTTTGTCTGATTTTCTCACCCTGCTTGCAATTTTGTGATTTCAGAAAGGAAGCTTTAGGCTCCATGGGAAATGATGCTCCTTTAGCTTGCTTGTCTCAGTTTCAACCCCTGTTGTATGAATATTTCAAGCAGCTGTTTGCTCAGGTATTTTTTATCATCTATCTACCTATCTTGTATTTAAGACATCTAGATGAAGTTTTTAATGTCCTCCCTTTTTCATGTTAGGTCACCAACCCTCCTATTGATCCATTCCGGGAGAAAATTGTGATGTCTTTGATGTGTCCCATTGGCCCAGAATCAAATTTGCTCGAACCCTCTGCAAAGCAATGCCACCGCCTCTTTTTGCCTCATCCAATTTTGTCATTGAAAGATCTTCTTGTCATCAAAAACACATCTCATCGTGGATGGAAGGTAAAGCATAATAAATTCTTTGAGTGTTTCTACACCTCTTACAAGAATTAACATTTACTCATTTTTCAGAGCAAAGTGATTGATACAACCTTTGCCAAAGAAGATGGTGCTGTTGGTCTAAAGAAAGCTTTAGATCGTATTAGTGATGAAGCATGCCAAGCAGCAAGAGCTGGATATCAGCTACTAATTCTTTCAGATCGTCTGGCTGGAGAAAAAAGGTACAGGTGTTGTGCTATTTTTTAAACCCTTAAATACTAGGTATGATTAAAATGATGACTTATGCTGTGCCTTATGTGCTTCAGGCTACCTGTGAGTGCTCTAATGGTATTGGGCTCAACGCACCATCAACTCATTGAAGAGAGACAACGGAAGAAAGTTGGACTTATTGTGGACACTGCTGAGGCCAGAGAAGTTCATCACATGTGTGTTCTTTTGGGCTACGGTGCTGATGCCATCTGTCCCTACTTGGTGTTTGAACTTGCTGCCACTCTCCGCTCTGAGGGAGTAATTGATGCTGCATTAACTGATGATATTCTTTTTGAAAACTATGTGGAAGCAATGGAACGTGGAATATCAAAAGTCATGGCAAAAATGGGAATTTCCACCTTGCAATCCTACAAGGGAGCACAGATCTTTGAAGCGGTAGGGCTATCTGACGAAGTTGTGGAAAGGTGCTTCAAGGGAACTCAGTCACGTGTGGGTGGAGTCACTTTTGAGGTGCTTGCAAATGAAGCCTTTGATCGTCACAGTTTAACATATGATGAGACAGCTGCTGACATGTTAGTACTCCGAAATCCGGGAATATTCCACTGGCGTTCTGGAGGAGAAAAGCACATAAATGAACCAAGCAGTATTGCTAGCCTTCAGGAAGCTGCTTCTAGCAAAAGCACTAGTGCTTATGAGAAATTCTGTCAATCTACTATGGAAAGTGTTCGAGCCTGCACTCTCCGTGGGCAACTTGATGTGGTACCTAATCCTAAAATCCCTCCAGTGGATATTTCAGAAGTGGAACCAGCTTCCTCGATTGTAAAACGTTTTGCTACAGGAGCTATGAGCTTTGGTAGTATTTCATTGGAAGCCCATCAAACTCTTGCTGTAGCAATGAACCGCATTGGAGGAAAATCTAACACAGGAGAAGGAGGTGAAAACGCTGACCGTTACTTGAATCAAGACACAGAAAATAATAAACGCTCTGCCATCAAGCAAGTTGCTTCTGGTCGTTTTGGAGTGACAAGTTCATACCTTGCTCATGCTGATGACCTCCAAATCAAAATGGCCCAAGGAGCAAAGCCAGGTGAAGGAGGTGAGCTGCCTGGATACAAAGTAACTGCTGACATTGCTGCAACTCGTCATTCAGTACCTGGGGTGGGTCTTATCTCGCCACCCCCTCACCATGACATCTACTCAATTGAAGATTTGGCTGAGTTGATTTATGATTTGAAGTGTGCTAATCCCAATGCCAGGATATCTGTCAAACTGGTGTCTGAGGTTGGAGTTGGTGTTGTTGCATCAGGGGTGGCAAAGGTAAATTGAATTTAATTTTGTGTTGAGTAAAAATGGTGTGATAAATTGTATCTGTATAATTATTTTTTTTGCAGGGTAAAGCTGAGCATATAGTTATTTCTGGTCATGATGGTGGTACTGGTGCTAGCTCATGGACCGGAATTAAGAGTGCTGGCCTTCCTTGGGAACTTGGTATTGCAGAAACACATCAGGTGTTGACATTAAATGACCTTCGATCGAGAGTGATTGTGCAAGCTGATGGTCAGATTCGCACTGGTAAGCAAATAAGATTTCCTCCCTGAACTAGTTATTTTTAAAATTTATACAAATGTTTTTTCTAATCTGATTTTTTCCCCCATAGGTTTTGATGTAATTGTGGCTGCTCTGCTGGGAGCTGATGAATTTGGTTTTAGTACTGCTCCTCTGATTGTCATGGGATGTACAATGATGCGCAAGTGTCATCTTAACACATGTCCTGTGGGCATTGCCACTCAAGACCCAGAGCTACGTAAGAAATTTGCTGGAAAACCTGAACATGTTATCAATTATGTGTTCATGCTTGCAGAAGAGGTAAACATAATGTCAATAGTGCTCTTTTGGTCTCTGTTAAACTCTATCTGTACTTATGAAAACCTTACTTTCATATCTAGGTCCGAGGTATCATGGCAAAGCTTGGTGTCCGTAAATTCCAGGATTTAGTTGGACGCACTGAATTCTTGAAGATGGCAAATCCTGCTAATGGAAAGGCTCAAATGCTGAATTTTGATGCGATTTTACGTAATGCTCTCGATATGCGTCCGGGCGTGAATATTATTGGTGGTTCTGAGAAGCAAGATTTTCAGCTTGAGAATAGATTGGACAATGAACTAATCAAAGCAGCTAAACCAGTAATTGATGGCGCTCTTAAGTCAGTCAAACTCGATTTGACCATCAACAATGAATGCCGAGCTTTTGCTAGCACTTTGAGTTATCATATTTCCATGTAAGAGTGATATAACTTTTTGCAATCCAGCCCCCTTTATTTTATCAATTTATTTATTTATTTTTACATTTTCCTAATGTTTGAACAAATTTCAGTAAATATGGGGATGCTGGTCTGCCAGATGGAAGTAGCATTCATATCAATATGAAGGGATCTGCAGGTCAGAGCTTCTGTGCGTTCATGTCCAGAGGAGTTTTTGTAACATTGGAAGGTGATGCCAATGATTATGTTGGAAAGGTAAAGTAATATTGATTTTCTACCTGCAACTTTTTTAGTTAGTGTGTTGTGGATACCGGTATTAATTTTTTCTTCAAATGGTAGGGACTGTCTGGAGGAGAAATTGTAATTTACCCAGCAAAGAACACCATTGTTGATGAACAATCTGAGAAGAATGTTATTGTGGGAAATGTTTGTTTGTATGGAGCTACCACAGGCCGTGCCTACTTCCGCGGTATTGCGGCAGAAAGGTTCTGTGTGCGCAACTCTGGTGTTGTTGCAGTTGTGGAGGTACGAAATATTTATATAAATTACCTTTTCAAAAAGACTGCTGGAATATCTGATCAAAGCAGAAGTGACTTCAAACTTTAAATTGTCTTGTCATAGGGTGTGGGAGATCATGGCTGCGAATACATGACTGGTGGATGTGTTGTCATTCTTGGATTGACTGGTCGTAACTTCGCTGCTGGTATGTCGGGAGGAATAGCTTATGTACTTGATGTTGATGGTTCATTCAGAGGGTAAGTCTAATAAGTGTCAAAGAATAGTATTTTGGTTAGTTTTGCCCTTTTTATTTGATTTCTTTCTACTCCCTTAGAAAGTGCAACATGGAAATGGTTGAGCTGTTACCCCTTGAAAAGAAGGAGGACTTGGATGATGTTGCACAGCTGCTTAAAGAATTTGTTCAGAAGACGGGCTCTAAAATCGCACAAGACCTGTTGGCACAGTGGCCAAAACCAGCCTCACAGTTCATTAAGGTATCTATGGTTAAATATGTCTTATATTTATTGTACTGTTTTAAAACTACCATTAATTAACAAATCTTCATAACATTTGTTAGGTGTTCCCTTATGAGTATCAGGCTGCATTAGCTGCTGGGAAGGAAAAGTCTACTGTGGAGACTGTTGTACCGCAGAAGACTGAGCCAAGTGTGAAAGATATTGAGGAGGCTGTTAACGATGAGGATATGGAAAAGAAGAAGCTGGATAAAATTCTGGACAAGACAAGGTTTGTAAAGAATCTGGATATTTCTATCTTAAGAAATCTATTGTCTGAATATCCATTCTACAGGAATCTTTATTTGTCCTATTTTGCTCTTACAGAGGATTTGTAAAGTACAAGAGAGAGACAGCTCCATATCGTAATGTTGAAAGTCGAATGAATGATTGGGACGAAATTTATGACTTCCCGCGAGTGCGGAAGGGCTTGCGGATGCAAGCAGCACGTTGTATGGAATGTGGTGTTCCCTTTTGCCAGTCATCTCATGGATGCCCTCTCGGAAATATTATCCCAAAATGGAATGATCTCGTCTTTCAGCAAAATTGGAAAGAAGCATTAAACCAGCTTCTTCAAACCAACAATTTCCCGGGTTAGTTTCATTCATTAGCATGGTGATGAATTTTATTGTTATTGATTTTCAGTTCATATGTGTAATTTTTGAACTTTAGAGTTCACTGGACGAGTCTGTCCTGCGCCATGTGAGGGAGCATGTGTCCTTGGCATTAATGAGCCTGCTGTCACCATAAAGAACATTGAGTGTGCCATCATCGACCATGCATTTGAGAATGGATGGATCAAACCTTGTCCACCTCTTACCCGTACGGGGAAGACTGTTGCTGTAATTGGGTCTGGACCATCAGGTCTGGCTTGTGCTCATCAACTGAACAAGGTATGGGGTGATGATTCACTCGTCACTATATTTATTTTAATCCAATCTTTAAAGTTTTATAGCTTTTTGTTGCTATGTTTCCAATTCTTTAGGCAGGACACACTGTGACTGTCTTTGAGCGCAATGATCGTGTGGGAGGTCTGCTGCAGTATGGAATCCCAACAATGAAACTATCCAAGGTTGTGGTACAGCGTCGAGTTAAATTGCTTGAGGATGAAGGCATCCTGTTCAAAACAAAATCCAATATAGGAAAGGATATCAAAGCAAAGGTAAATTATTGTGAATTTTTGAATATCTTTATTCAGATTCTTACTCTCTTCACATTCTTTATATCTTCTCTCCTTTGTCACCAGGAGCTCTATGACAACTTTGATGCCACTGTGTTGTGTACTGGGGCCACATGGCCTCGTGACCTTCCAATTCCTGGTCGCAATCTGGAAGGCATTCATTTTGCTATGGCTTTCTTGGAGAACTGGCAAAAGGTGCAAATGGGCAATGACATTCATGTCCCAAAACTTCTTGCAAAAGATAAGGATGTTATTGTGATTGGTGGTGGTGACACAGGATGTGATTGCATTGCCACATCTCTTCGTCAGGTAAGAACAAAACCATCTGGTCTTTGAGCATATTTTTTAAAAAAACAATCAATTTATTTAACTCAGAAAAATATTTTTTTTTAGGGTGCCAAGTCGATTACAACATTTGAAATCCTGCCTGAGCCTCCAGTGCGGCGTGCAGCTGATAACCCATGGCCTCAATTTCCCAGAGTTTTCAAGGTGGACTATGGACATGATGAAGTAAAGTTGAAGTTTGGCCAAGATCCTCGTCAATTCAGCACAACGAGCAAGGTACAGTACTTAAAGTTTTTGTTCACCGAAATCCATAATTCAATTCAGTTACTTCATGGTAAAATCTGTCTGTTTAGGAGTTCCTCGATGATGGCAATGGCAATGTGAAAGGAATAAAAACTGTGAAGGTTGAATGGACCAAGGATGATCAGGGCAGGTGGAAGATGGAAGAGGTCCCCAATTCTGAAAAGGCGAGTTGGCAAAGATCTGTGACTTTGTTCTTGATGTCATAAATCACAATTGTAATTACTTATGTTTATTGTTGTATTTTTTGTTTAGGTCTACAAGTGTGATCTTGTGCTGTTGGCTATGGGATTCCTGGGCCCAGAAAAGTACATTGCAGAAGAGCTGCAACTCAAATTAGACCCTCGAAGCAACTATGAAACACCTAATGGGCAGTATTCGACCTCTATTCCCAAAGTGTTTGCAGCTGGTGGTAAGTTCATGTCACGTTTATAATAGTTTTCCTCAAATGTGTTGAATACTATCTATAAAGTTTAAAATTCAGGCAACTATGATAATTGCACCTTTTTCTTTCATGACTCTAGATTGTCGTCGAGGACAGTCACTTGTCGTTTGGGCCATTTCTGAGGGAAGACAAGCAGCAAGGGAAGTGGATCAATATCTAACTGGTGAAAGCAGTCTCCCTGGGCCTGGGGGTGTTATCATCCCTCATGCTCGTCGTGGTTAAGTTTATCTTAGAAAAAAATAATTCTAAAGCAAGGGCTTCCATGTGGATAGCATTATTCCTTTTGCCTCTCCTCCTTCAGTTACTGTGTATTCCTTAGCTTTGGTTGATAAAGAAAACAGTTACCCTATTGATAAAATGAAATATTTTTTTGAAGTATTTGTTTCCTATTTACCAGTTATTACTGAAGACAAGTATAATGTTAATAATTTGTTTGACCTAAAGGCTGGGCTCTCTAAAAAATGTGATGGTGGTTTCATTATCACTTAGGTCATTATCAGTATTAGGATGAAATCGAGCATTTTGTGTGATTGGTAAGGGGAGATAATATTTACTTTTGGTAGAGTTTGTTAAATTGGAGTTATGTATTTCTTATACTTGCAAGTTTGATTTTGTGCCCTATTTTTGTTACTGTGACGTTTTTAAAGTTTATAGTAGAGGTCTTTACATTTTGATGTTCCTTGAAATTCACCTGAAAAGCAGCTCACATCCTTATTCTGCTCAAAAACTGAGCATTTTGTGATCTGTTCACCAGGCTGTCTTGCTTGTCATTAAAATGTGTAAAACGGTTCAACAAATAGGCTTCTTTTAATTTCTTAAATTAGTCTTAAGTTTATAAAAACAAATATTTTGTTATTTTAAATATTTTTGTTTATTTTTCATGAAAATTACTTGGGAATTGAATCCTGTATAAAGCTGTATGTGTGATTTACACACGGTGTGCATTACCTGAATTTTTGTTGTTCCATCCAGGTATGCGTGATTTTTGTAGCGTATATGTGTTTCTGTGAAGGCTGGAATAGTGAAATGTTTGAGGTTCTATGGTGGAATTTCTACCTCAAAGTTAAAAGGCTAGTGCTGTTGTAGTTACTGCTAGATCACATAATACTGTAATTGTTACGTGGACATTTATTTAATACATATGTTGTAGAGTGGCGATAAATGATTGTTTTTTTTTGAACAATTTCAAAGAAAACAAGTACGTCAAAGTTTTTTCAAACCATAAATGAGGGGGAGAAAATGCTAAAATGCAGAATGTACTTAAGGTGTCATATTTTATTGAACTGTACTTTGAACTTTGAGGCAACCTACTGCACAAGTAAACTGCAATTTCTGGACATAGGGGGGGTTATTTATTCCTTATATGTTTGTCAACCTTAAACACCTTAAAAGAGCTTTGATTTGTTTAGTAGTTACACAACTTACGTATTTTCTTGCTGCCATATTTGTGTTTTTATTTTGCTATCTATTTTACTTACTTAAGAGTATGAATTTTGCAATAATCACTGAATCACTGAGTGACTATTGGCCTCTGATGATTTTACTCTCAATAAACTTATTTCCTGTACTGTACTCAGATTGCATTCTTTTTAAAAAATTGTTTTGAAAATGATCACCTTGTCTTTCTGTTGCAAAATATATTGTGGTTTCCTAAATGTATTACCCATGTACTGTTCCTTTTTTTGCATCTGCATTTTGACAGCCCAGTTTGTCCAGTCATCCTGGAGCTACCCAACTATTTTACTTGTTTTGTGCACTTTTGTCAATTGTGGGTTACACCCACGAAACAAGTTGCTGTTAACCTTGTGAATGACTAAGATGAGTATTTTTCTGAGAGTAGTTAATTTGACTGGCATCAATAAATAGCCAGCTGGTAAAGAAATTATGGAGGGAATGCAGATAGACTGGATTAGAATAAATGATGGTTTCATGGGTTTATGATGACTTATTGCCTTGAGCACAAATATCATTTCATTTCAACTTGTTTTCTGTTATGTTTTATCTGTATGCATTGATAGCTATTTCTAATGTCGCAATTAAATTAGTCCAAATGTTAATGAAAAAATAAACAGTACTTAAAGCTTTGCACCAAAGAATATAGATAAGGCTTTAATCTGGACATAGTATTTTTTTTGTTAATGAATTCTGATTCTTTTAGATTGATTAAGGCAAAGAAAACTTCTTACATGTCGACTTGTTTACTAATTCAAGTTTAGTCCCCTTTGTCCTTTGATGAGAAAATCAGTCGTCTGAAATATCTGAATATCCACCCGAAGCACTTAATGGATTCTCATATTTTACTTGTATACCGGTAGATACATTTTAAACATGTCTTTGAGGGACATATTGACAGTGTTGTGAGAATTCGATACATGTTCTATCCACCTGCTCTCCTGGTAGAGGTCTTAGGTCTCAAAAGACCCATAGGTATTAAATGGCATTATGGGCTCCATTTTTTTTTTTGTCAGTGTTTAATATATACATTACATAAAGCATTTTTTTTAAATGTGCAGTATTATGAAGAGGGCAGTCACACACTTTCAGTACATCCACATACTTTGGAAGAAATGTGGTAAATTTTTACAGTTCATTGTAGGGCAGGGTACTTTCGAGGATATGGGCAGTTTCAATACTGCTTCTGTAGAAGCTATGCGCGAACTGGCGTGAATCAAGCTGAGTTTTGTGGGGAGGCAATGTTACCCACTCTCGACGGAATGTAGTACAAATTTGTACTGAGAAGTGCCCTCCCATAATGGCCTAAAATGGGTAGGTGTGGGGCAAAATTTCATATACCCTCCTCTGTGACTATGTGTTTGTGAACCTAGAAATCTCAATTGATGTTCACAATGTCAACCACACATTTTTAAGTAGTAAAATATATCCTGCTTGTTGTCTTGCTTTCATTGTGATTCCCTGTGTCTGCAGTTTCGTATATATAACTTATTTAATTATTGAGAAACTTTCAAAAATGGTATGTTTAAAAGCATTTGATCAACCCCTTAGCTCATAAAATGCCATAAGTAAGTAAAGCAAATTTGGAGGCTTTGTAGAGTTAGGTAGGGAAGAGACATTGATGACTGTTGAAAAACTCAGAGAAAACTGAAATGTCCTCTTTCTATGACAAAGAGGAGATATGCTTAAGGAGCAGTAATTCTATCTGAACTACTGTAACTTTTTTGTGAATATGGAAATGCAGGCAATGTAATCTTAAGAATTGAGACAATAATCATGTTAATTAATTGAATTGCATTATATTTGAACTGCTGTAGTTGTGTACTTGTGTGGGCGGCCATGAAATGTGACTGCAGTAAGTCCACATAACTTACGAGTAGGATCAGAAAACTTACTATGACATCATGTTTAGCGATCAATAAGACAATAAAGACCGCTCACACCCTGTAGTCAATTTGATGAAATCCAAATAAAATTCAAACAATGATTTCAAACATATTTTCACTTCTACCTACTTCAAGAGTTTACACGCGCAACATATGAAAACAGATTTAAGACAAGCAAGCACCAACAGAAGAAAAGAATAATAATCATCATACCAAAAGTACAAATAAGAACCATACAAAAATGTAACTAATGCATTAATTTGTAGCCCTCTGTTGAATAAGATCAAAAATATGATTGGCCACTGCCTTTACATTCGGACGACTGACATCAACTTCAGTAACTCCTGGTTCACACATTCTTTTGTAGACTTCATGCAGCCTAAAATACAAAAGAGACTAGGCAATATAATTTTGTTATCATCTTGAACACTAATTAATTTCAATTATCAATCAAACTTACACAAGTCTATAGTTTGCTTCACCAGCCAGACGAATTTCCTCTGCAGTATTAGTAGTGTTGCGGCCTCTGAACCTTCTCAAACGTTCAGCCTCACTGACCTTCAAGAAAAAAACTACATCTGGATATGGTTTAAGATCTTTAGGCCACATGTACACTGGATCCTTAGGCTCAGGCAACTCTGAAATATCATTGACTGTTCCAGCAAATGCATATGCAGCTGTACTGTGCCAAAACCTTAAAAATAAACAAAGGTAAAAGTAAACTGAAATGTAGTCATACACTTTCCATTTCACTCAGCATGTACAAGATACGAACCTATCCAATATAACTGGGCGTTCCTTCAAAATTTCTTTAATTTCCAGAGCTGCAGCATAGTTACTGAGGCTATAGTACGCTCGCCTTATGTGGTTTGGTTGTTCGTCAAAGAAGGGGCGTAGACGTAAAAAGTTCTCCCCAGGGGTCGACATCTTGACACCCCCCAGCCGCTTAGCAATAAGCTTTGTCATAGTTGATTTTCCTACAAAAAGACAACAGGAACGAGTCCATTTCCAATGTACTGTAATTTCTATATTGCCATTGCAAATGGAATACGCACCACTCCCATCTAGCCCCTCGAAAACAATAAAAGGGTGTCTCTTTCCCTCACCATCATTGCCAGTTTGGTTCTCAGAAACCCTCTGAAAAACATTGAGGACTTCTTGGATTTGAGGGCAGGATGTAACCTGAAATTTTATAATAATAATCGTATCACCGTCACAAATAAAAAAATAATCAGAAAATAAATACTATTTGTTTTACCTGCTCCTTAAGTACATTTAAGCATTCTTCCTGGGAATGATAGATCCCCCACTGAGCCATAATGGAACTTGTCTGTAGGACGTTAGAATGAAAAGAACGCAAATCTTCTTAAGCTGGATGCTTTAAGTGTGGTTCAAAAAAGTAGGAAAGCAGCAGCCCAATGAGCACTTACATGTAAAGAGACGACTTGTTGCGCAATGCACTGACGTGTCGTAAGTTGAGGGAGCCATACAGGGGACCCCCGTCCCCTCCGTCGTAGAAGACGCTGACAGTTAAACAAACCCTAGAAAAAGAAAATGGCTTATGTTGAGACAAATTTTGTTTCTTTTCGCGCTGATAGGTGACTATTTCTAGTATATTGTAAATGTACAGGGTATTTAAGATTTTAAGAGTTGCAATAATATAGATGAAAATCAGGTATATCTTTCACTACAAATCGATATATTTTTCTCAAGTTATCTAAGCAAACAAGTGAGCTAAACTTAGTTTAAGCATAGTTAAGGTGTTAAGCCATTTTTAAGCGGTGATTCTTGACTGTCTCATGACAAAATCTGTACGAAATGAAAACGCGTTTTTTAAAACAATATTTAACAACATTAACATGTAATGGAAAATACCCCATATTTACTTCCTGAGACATTATTTTCTTGCTGGTGTGTTCATCCTGCCGGAAACTCTTCTTTAAATGTTGGCATCCGTGGCCGTTCAGGGCGCGTGTTGAAAATCGACAGCCGCCGGCGTTTAGGTTATGTGCGACTGAGTTCAAGATTGAAGCCAACAAAGCCATCACTGTAAAGCTGCCCTGTAAATAAATCTTCAGCGATGTTTTTGGGCTTTGGAAAAAGGAATTCCACACCAAAAAGGCCTGGAACGCCTCAGGAATCGCCTAAAACACTGTCATCTCCTGGTCTTAGCCTGGCCGCGGATGGGCCAAATGGTGGTTCTCGATCAACTGTTCAAACAACTGCTGGACCATTGTTGTCTTCAACAAGATTTAATTCAATCCTAGATGCATCGTAAGTGTCGTTCTTAACACATATTACTTTTTTGTCGAAACCATGTTCGGATTCAAACAGGGACAACCATGTTAAATGTTACAAGTGTTTTCAAGTATGACAGTTGTACTTGATGGATCATTCATTTCCTCCAATGAAATTTGCTTGTATTACGCTAATACATTAATTAATAACTCAAAGATCTACAACTTACAAAACAAACTATTGGAATGTCTTTCTGTGTGCTAGAGATGTCTTTTACTTTGCTCTGCTTAGTAGCTTTTCAAGCTTTTCATGTAAGTTTGTTCAGATCACTAAATCAGAAATTTTAACCTTGATTTTTTTTCTGTCTTTGCTTTAATGTTATGGTAGCATTTATATTCCCCATATTATACATAATTTTTGTATTACATTGTTCCAGAACTTATGCTAATGTTAATAGTCCTGGTTTCACCAGTAGAGTTGTCAATTGCGCCTCAAATGGGAATTCTTATCATGAGAATAGTGCAACTCATCAGAGCAAGTACTCAACAGTGGGGCTTTTTCCAAGAGTTAATCTAGGAGGCCAGTCAACTCTATCAATTCTCTCGCCGCGCAACAGTCAAAAAGTTGGCAGAACACCAGTTAGAGTCCGTATTGCCCCACCTTCCAGCAATCTTCTCAGGTATGTCAGACATCTCACCTTTTTTAGAAGTATCAATTTCTGTGAAGCTTTCTTTTATTTATAATTTTTAAATTTCTTAGGAGGCACTCCATTAGTTTTAGCTCTTCAGAAGCTATCAAAGTTAACAGTGAAATTTCAAAGCAACTTCTATCATCCCCTCAACAAAGCCACAGAAAAGAAGGCAGCTTAACTCTATCAAAGAACACTGATGGTGTTTCCTCACTAGACAACCTTCAAGAGGCGTCAAGGAAGCGGATATTTTCTGAGTGTCAAGATAGTTTTGTAAGTTGATAATTACTCGTGCAATTCATTAGAGCCTTGAAAAACGCCCTTTTCTCTAATACTCTGTTTACCTTCAGGATGAATCAAAGAAAAGACGAAAGAAGACTGAAATTCCCATCCCCAACCCAAACAACGATGTGTATCATTATAGACATGTGCGAGCTCCATCAGTCCCTACCAGTCCTCCCCAACCAGATAATGCCTCTCAGTAAGAAATGCTCATCATATGGCACTTGTATTTTAGTTGTCCGGTGGTGTAATATTTATCATTTGTCTCTTGTAGGGGTAAAAGAGCAAGAGAGAAGGGGTCGCCTGAAGAGCAGAAACGCCAGCGGAGGAAAGTTTGCAACACAAACAATGCTATCTTTAGCTCACTTAGCTCTAGCCGAAATTTGTTAGAGAGACTTACTTCCCAAAAACGGAAGTCTAGTAAGTACTCTTTTCTTATTTATTTTAAAATTCCTGAAGTGTACGCACTCTGTTAAAATCTGTTTCTAAACTTCAAATATCTCTGTCTCCTGTTTGAGTTTTGATTAATTATTACTATTTCTATCTGTTCTTCAAGTTGATACTTCCCGGTCAAGTAGCCCATTAACACCTTTGAGTGGTAAGCAAGTAAAAGAAAGCAAGACAACTCCTAATGTAAAAGCTGCAGAAATTAACTTGGTATGAGAATCAAACAATTAGAATTCAGCATTATTTGACATTAGAAAGTCTTCAATTTTCCTTTTTTTAAATTGTTTTTTCAGAGCATTATTCCTCACAAAAAGAGTGAAAAAATATCTGATGATGTTGATAAAGTTGGTACTCCAATCTCATCTAAAGTAATATCTCAGAGAAGTGATTTGTGTACAAGAGAAAAGAATGAAATTGGGGAAAAGACTGTTCTTAAAGACACTAACCAATCATCTACTTGTGATTACACCACAAAACTTTTCCGGAAAGATGTGTCTTCACATGTACCTAGGACACCAACATCCAAAACAACTAAACAAAGCCTATGGGTGCAAGCACCTGAAGTTGATGACTTGAGCTGTTCTCTTCTCAGTGATGATTCAAAACTTGACAGACCTGAAAGACTAAAGAGCTTATTGGCACGAGTCAGTGGCAAAGGTATGATTATTTTTTAGTAAATGAGTAAAGTATTTCATTAATTCTTTTTTTCTTGAAGCTTTTTTATTTTGTAACATCATGCCCTGTTTCTGCCCAGACAAAAATCCTGCTGATGAAACTAATCCCACGATAAGTGATGCTTCCAAAGAATCTTCAAAGGGCTCTTTTGTTGGAGCTTCCTTACCTGGCAATACCACTTTGAAGGCACTTTCACCATCTTCAGCACTTACAGTGACTGTATCATCAACATGTACTATCATGACATCTGCTACTGTTACATCTGTAAGGATTGAGTGGTGATGTCATTGAAATTTGCAATATTAATTTCCTTTTTAAAACGTATTATTAATTTGTCCTCTCAGGTAAATGGAGTGCCTTCTTCTGAAAGCAGCCGTCCACCCCCAAGTATGCCTGCCTCTGTCACATCCACACAGAGTTCTCAGTTACAGCTTACAACAGGAAAATCCCTAGCAGGTGTGACTTCACCTTCAGCTGGAGGGCATAAGCCAGAATCTCTGTTGAATGCAAGTGGTGTTGGTGCTTTGACTGGTTAGTACCCAATGCAATTAATTCAGTTGAGTCACCCCTCCCCCTTCCCCCTTCCCCACTTTTTTGTTGTTGTTAAGCAGCAGTTGTTTAGATAGAATTTTACATTTGGCAGCTAGAGAAAATATTTTATAGTCAAGGTAGATAGATGTCACTCTCATCCAGTTGAAATAAAAACAGCTACAGCAAACACTCCAGCTATAGGTCCTTAGATGCGGGTGAGCTTTTTTATGAATGGTCTTAAGTGACCAAAAAATTTGAATGGTGTTTTGATCTTAAAAGTCTTTAAGTTTTGAAAAATATGTTGCGTGGTGGGTCATTGTGTAAAGTCGGAAAATGTGCATTTTGGTAAAAGTTTACTGGTACCTGTTGATATAAGAATCAACCAAAGTCTACCCTGTTGGTCAGATTTTCTACTTTTTCTTTCTGAAAGAAATCTGAATGAGGCAATAAAATTATTCGTCCTATTTTCTTTTCCAGGCACCTCTTCAATTGGAGGATTGAAGTCATCTACTGGTTTCACCATGAAATCGCCTGACAACAATAATTCTACTTCTCAAAGTGGAAGTAAAGCAAATACATCAGCGGAGTTACCGAAAGCTACTTTTCAATTTGGGTCGAGTAGCAGCAATGTACCAACACCTAGTAATTCTCACTTCAGCGTGACACCTAATGTGGAAACATGTGCTGCAGTATCTGCTAATTCAAATAGCTCGCCATCATTTTCTCTGGGTTCTAAGAGTGACCAAACAACTGCAGTTGCAAGTTCGACCTTCCAATTTTCGTCCAAGCAGTCAAATACTGCACATTTGCCAGGACCCAAATCAAGTACCAACCAGGCAACATTTTCATTTGGGTCTAGTGGCAATGCACAAACAGGAGCGGCAAATTCAAGCTTCCAACTTGGATTAAATGGAACAAGTTCACCTGCACTTCCTAAATCATCAGAAAGTGCAAATTCTGGAGCACCAAAAACTACTTTCTCCTTTGGGTCAAGCACTGCTATCTCTTCAGAAGCTCCAAAATCTGCACCTCAAATCGGAACAAGTAGCAATACCCTTGAAGTTGCTTCGAAGTCAACATTCCAATTTGCATCAAGTGGGCAGGCTGCAAATGTTCCAACTGTGCCTTCATTTCAGTTGGGGTCAAACGTCAGCAACTCTACTTCATCAACATTTCAGTTTGGGTCGGGTAGTAATAAGCCAGTTATGCCAGCTACTGCTACCAAAACAGCTGTCCAATTTGGATCCATCAGCACTGGTTCTTCTGAGGGCACTAAACCAAGTTTTCAATTTGGATCCAGCACAAGTACTTCCTCCTCTCCCCCATCATCATCCTTTCAGCTTGGATCAAATAGTGGATCAATGGTGGCTCCCAATGCAGCTGTTCAGTTTGGATCTACCAGCAGCAGTGGTTCATCTTTGGGTGCTAAATCTAGTTTCCAATTTGGGTCAAGTAATCCATCAATGGCTCTTAAACCAACAGTTCAATTTGGATCCACCAATAACGGATCTTCTGAGGCTCCCAAATCAGCCTTTCAATTTTCAAGCACTAGCGTTTCCTCTGGAAATCCTAAACCTGCCCTTACATTTGGATCAAGTGGCACTCCCGATATTTCCAAGCCCTCTATGTCATTTGGCTCTACTGGTTCTTCGAAAGATACTTTCCAATTTGGAGGGGGTAGCCAAAACTCTTCATCAGCAAATCCTTCCTTTCAGTTTGGATCTACTGCAGCATCTCCTCAACAATCAAATCAGTTTGGATCTAATGCAGTGTCTCCTCAACAATCAATCCAGTTTGGATCTAATGCTACAGGCGCCGCTTCTCAATCCACCAGCTCGCCCTTTGCATTTGGGTCCAACTCAAGTAAATCTGTGGATTCATCCAAGCCATCCTTCCAATTTTCTACCAGCTCTGATAAACCAACATTTGGCTCATCTCAAGGTTCAGGTTCTGCATTTAGTCAAGTGCCACAACAACAGTCAAAGGTATGACCAAATGATAGCAAGTCCTTTCTAGTTTTGTCTGATACTTGACAGTTTGTTTTGTGTACTTGACACTTTCCTTTTTGTTTCCAGGGAGCTTTTGCATTCGGTCAACCGTCCAATGCTGGCACCAATGTTAATGAAGCTAAGAATACCTTTACATTTGGGTCCTCCACACCTTCATTTGGCTCCACCAGCGCAAGCTCGCCACCATTTGGATCAGGATCAAGTTCTGCCACATTCGGTTCTACGTCAAGTACACATTCAGCACAGCCCTCTTTTGGGTCTTCTGCACTAAAATCAAATGGATTCAATTCAACACCAACTTTTGGCGGTGGCTCCAATTCAGGTGCTTTCTCCTTCAGTGCCAACAGTTCATCAGGAGTAGGAACCAATGCTGGGGCTGGTGGAGCCTTTTCTTTTGGCCAAAACCAAGATCAAGCTTCTCAATCATTTAGCTTTAATGCCACTGTCACAACGGTCCCTAATCCTTCTGCTCAAGCTGCTCAAACTCCTGGTAATTATAGATTTTTTGATTCACATGTTGCAAGCAATAATCAGGATTGAAGTTGTTTGGAAATTTTAATGGAATTCTTTGTGTTATTTCAGGTTTGTTTAGCGTTGGTGCAGGATCATCATCCAGTACACGTCGTGTCGTAAGAGATGCTCGCAGGCGACGGTGATAATTTACATAGCATGTATTTGGTTCTGTATTGTTGTATTTTATGTAATTTTTAATATAAACTATTGTTTTGTAAGTGCAAAATCTATTTGAGGTCATGGGCCTGATGGGCGCTGAAGAAGATAAAGTATGAGTATATTTTACATATTTAATGGTGTTGCTTGACACTTATACAAATCAAAGTAAAGTTGACAAAATAATTTTCATTGAGTACTTGAATTGCTTACATAATAACAAAAAAATATATATATTGAGCATTCATTATCTAATAAACAGGGGGAGGTTGTTGAGTTGGTAGAAGGCCGAATCTTCTCTTAATAGTTATCCTCTGTCGGGAATACTTGTCCTCAGGAGAGAAGCGGGCTGTAATGACAGGAAAATTATGAATTGATGTAACAATGATCAATTAAAACGAAGTGAGAATTACCTACCAGGATGAGCAGAGAGGGTTGGCCTTCCATTGGGATCTACAGTCTGGAATAAATAAGTAAATAAATAAACATTGTAGCAAGCCGGTGAGCTAACCTCCACACCCCATGCGGGTGTAACAAAATATATTTTTATCATTGTATCGTTATCCCAAGAAATCAAACGATCGCGAAGAACTGGGAAGATTTTTCAGTACATAAACGATACGTTTGAGAGTGAGAAAAGGTTCTAGAGCAGACTCTGAAAACAAAATATTACCATGCTGAGCAGCAAGGAAACATACCTTGAAAGTGTAGACCCTTTCGCCTTGCTCGTCTAAGAAATACATGAGAAACATGATGAATCTATCAAGAGTGCGCTGATACTTGGAAATTCGAACTCTCCAACTTTAAAATGTTCAGAATATCAGACAGTTCGATTCGCCTGCTCTTTGCCCACACTTGTCACAATAATCACAACATGCGGTGATGCACGCAGCACGCACGACGCACGTTCTCTTTACGCGGCTCGCGCAACGCAACGCGCACGCGCAAAGATGAGTAAGAAGTTGGAGGGAAGAACAAAACAAAAGCAATATACTTTTGTAAGGGGCGGTGGTGGTTCTTCGCACCACGAATACCGATAGCAATGTTGTTGTTCAGCGAGCATCATCCATCCGTCTATCTTTATTGTCAGCACACCATACTGTGCACGACGCTATGTCCATGTGACAACAAGTTTTGGACTGAAAAACATTGCTTGTGGTGATTGTCCCTCAAATTCGCAACCATGGCTATGTTAGCAGAGAAAAGGACGAAGACAAGATATTACTTACACAACAAGGCTCTCAACCCCCGAGGAAATGCGTGGTGTGAAGGTGAGTGACATAACCCACGGGGTCTGCAAGCTTTCGAGGTTGCGAGATCACTTAACGTATTTGTAGAAGTACAAGTGCATAGAGTTAGCATCAAGGGTCTCTTGTAATTTTTTCGTGACATTTTTGAATGGGTGACGCCATTCATACTGTGATTTGAGCTGTGTTTACTCTGTTCAGATTCAAGCAAATTTGGTCAACGAATGCTCGAGAAAATGGGCTGGGCTGAAGGTAAAGGATTAGGTGCAAAAGAAGACGGCTCCACTGACCCAGTTACAGTTTCATATAAGTGGGACAATAAAGGTGCAGTATTTGTGTTCATGTAAAATATATCAAATGTGTCAAATAAAATTAACGTTTTATAATCATCTGTGAACTATAAATTTTTAACCAGTTTGTTACTTACTTTTGTAGGCATGGGCTTCAAAGGTGCTGATGGGGACGAGGCAGTGGCCCAACAAAAAGATTTTGATGCTCTTTTAGCTACGCTTTCGCAGGATTCTTCTCCTGATAAGAAATCTAGAGCCATTCCTGACAAATCCCCTAAATCTCTTGAATTAATGTCTCAAAAATCACGTGCAAGAGTCCAGTAAGTATTTCACTCCTAGTACTACAGTTGTATTTATCTACATTGCTGCTAATCAAAATTCTTCTTTGCAATATATTTTTATTATCCACTTGTAAGTCTTTCTAATGCCTCTTTTTTTCCCTTCTAATCAGCTATCACAAGTTCACTAGGGGGAAAGATCTTTCAAGAGCTAGTAGCAAAGATTTGGCAAGCATATTAGGAATGGCTACTGAAGTTCAAACATCAACTCCAGCTTCTACTGGGCCTGTTGTTACACCTGACGTTGGACCTCCTATTGAGCAAAATCTTGTTACAACATTTGGAATTACCACCATTGCTCGAGGCAATATCAATGAGTACTTTAAACAAAAGTTTGAAGAACGAAAAAGAAAAATGGCAGGTTTAGAAACTGAAGATTGTTCCAAAAAAATCTGTATTCCTGATGAAACTACCAATGGAGTAGTCACTGAGACAAATGAGCCTATCAATGACAATATTAATCCTGACAATACCATTAGAAAGAAGAAGAAAAAGAAGAAAAACAAAAATGATGATGAAAGTGTGATTGAATGCGATTCCTCAACTGTGTTGAATGATACTCTTCTAGATGCAGGTGATTTGTCTACTTCCAAAAGTAGGAGGAAGAGTGTAACGTGGGGTGATGTAGAGGTTTCTTTTGTATCAAAGTACATTAAAGAGATGGTGGACACATCCAGTGATTCTGTATGTGGTGAGTCTGACACCCTAGTTACAGCAGAAGCAGAAGATACATCCAGCACTGTTGGCAAGAAAAAGAAAAAGAAGGACAAGAAGAAAAGCAAAGATGAATTTGCTTATGAATCGATAGAGCCAAACAGTGAGGTCAGCGAGGTGGTTGCAGAGGAATCAAACTCACCTGGCAAGAAAAAGAAAAAGAAGAAGAGGAACAAAGAATCATCACTGTGCACTGATGAGAGAATCAACTATGAGTCTCAGGAGGATTCAGGTGCGGAGCTAATCAATGGTTTAGGAGGAACAGAAAGAGAAGACCCTCCTATCAAGAAAAAGAAGAAAAAGACTACTGATAAACAGGAGGAAAACAGAAAGGTTGTAGACAGTTCTGAGAGTCTTGAAGCAGCAATCACTACTGACACGTCACTTAAAAAACAGAAAAAAAAGAAGCTGAAAATGTTGTCTGAGGATATACATGTTTTCCCTGAAAGCAATGATCAATCTGAGTGTGATAATGATAATGCACTGGTTTCAACTAAAAAGATGAAAAATAAATCTAGACAAATTGACTACGTAGATGATACAGCCTCTGATAAAATTGTTGATAACAAAAACAAGAAGAGGAAAAGAAGGGAGTGTGATGAATCAATTTTAGATAATTCAGTTGATGGAAACCCTCAACCTGAAGAATACTTACAGGCCAAGAAAAAGAAGAAAAGGAAGAAGGAAATACTTGAAAGTGACAGCTGTCCAGAAATTCCATTATCGGGTCAGAATGGTAATGACAATGTTTCTTCCGAAGTACCTACTGATACAAATAGCAACAACAAGGTAAAGAAAAAAAAGAGCAAGAATTCAATAGTTGACTCAGAAATTGCCCTAGGTGACAGTGAAACTGTTCCTAATGTTACAGAGCAACCAGCTCTCTCTGCACTAACACAAGAAAGAATGGCCAAGTGGAAGGACCGCAGAAAAACTAAGGATGGAAGAAATCCCTCTGGAGAGATGGTCTCTGATAGTTGCAAAATTGAGATGCCTAAGACAGCTAAAATAGAATATAATCCTAATCAACCAACACAGGATTACAATCACCGTAAAGTCCTATCTGCCCTGGGTTATAATGTGAAAGGAGCTATTGACAAGACAATCACTGTAAGAATGCCTGAATCAAATTTCTCTGGCTCCAATCTTGATGCCATTCCAGGATATGGACAGACAATTAAAACTTGTTAGTCTAAAAATGGAGATCTCTAATTTTCTTATGATTAATTTAAAGCGTCAATGCTGTTGTATGACAGACAGTTTGATCAAGAATGTGATAAAAATTTCAATGAAATAAATTTTCATTCAACTATACCTCTTAACAAAACCATGTTTTGTGTCTGAAACCAGTCTCCACACTAATGTTCATGTACCCATGATGTACCTTTTCAGTACCTCTCAAAGCAAGACATGTTAACACCTTTTTACTTCTTTCTAAAGCAACAGTGCTTCTGCCATTAAACTAATCATATACATTTTACAATTTAATGAAATAATTTTATTGAAATAATAGAACTTCTGCCAACACAAAGAACAACCAACATGAATGGGGCCTTAAAAGTACAAAAGATAGCTCAAAATTATGTCTACATACATCCAAAATCTCAAGTTCCTCACCAACATATAGTAACAAAGACTTAAGCACAACTTAACATACAATCCATTGTAGTTCTTTGCATCTATCAAAGGATTACAGAACTCAAAAGAAAGCAGTTCATTTGAGTTTGACTTAGTTTACATAATTTTCTACCGGAAGGAAAGGCATAAGCTAACATTAATGCTTTACTTGGACTTTACAACCTTATCAACAAACTTGCGTAGTTTATCCGTATCCTGAAGCCCAATAAGCTTATCTTCAACCTTGCCATTCTTCATAGCAATAAGAACAGGGACTGACCCAATCTAATGAAAAAGATAATGCATGTAAAGTCATTTAGTTAGAAAAGGAATCCATGGGAAAAGGCTGAAAATGTCATGCAATACTCACGTCGTAATCCAATGCTAGATCAGTGTGTTCATCTATGTCCACTTTGGCCAGGATAACTTCTCCCTTTCTTTCGGCAATGACAGATTCGATTCTTGGTGTGAGCATTCGGCAGGGATTGCACCACCTAGAGAGTTACAAATAATAAGAGGTTAGGATCCGAAATCATTGAGTGAAACCTTACGGTAAGCATATTTTCAAATTAACTCACGTGGCGAAAAAGTCGACGATGACTGGGACTTTGCTATTTTTCACTCTTTCATCGAAATCCTTAGTGTCTTGAACGTGGAAAACCTCTACCTGTGGTGCAGTCGAGGCTAGTCTCCTCGGAAGAAATTTACAAACATCGGAGGTCTCACGAATGACATTTGCAAACAGACCATGTTTCAAAAACTTGGTGACGAGCATTTTGGTTTGCGATTTGAGTGCACACCAAACTTGTATCTTTCCGTCCGTCTGTTTGATTTGAAGAGATAACCTTTGTTTGAAGCAGACAGTTCGATGTGCAATACACGTACGCACTGTAAATAATGTGCCGGCGTTCTGGGCAGAGCTAGAGACACGCGGTTACTTTAAACTGGTCTTCGGAAGGTCTTAGCGGACAACGAGGGACAACCGTCCGGATTCGATAGAATTTAAGCTGACTGTGAAATCCCTGTCATCGATGATTTGCTTGTTTTTTTGATTTAAATTGACAAATAATGTGAAACAATTACAAAAATGTAAGTATACAAACTTCTCTGGACTTCCCCCGTTGGTTGGAAGTTCTGTGTCTGATGTCGACTATGTCGACCCGTCAAGGGCTCTTATCCCAGATGATACTTTAAAAATAAATAGGCAAGGGTTAAGACAGAGGAACAGAAAGCGGAAGGTATCAAGCAGGTGATGCAAGAGAGGGCGAGGTAATGCGACGTCGAGATCCAACACCGTTCAAAACTACCGTGTTTCGAATATTTCATCCCTGGATTCCTGCCTCGAGTCATAACAGCAGCCTGTACTCGTAATCATGTCGTGTACCAACGTTCCACACTACAAAATCTTAAATTTCACGATAAAAAAATCTATGCCAATTGCCTTTATTTAGTGCAACGTACGTGATCGTCTGAACTTAGTTTTGTTTTTACATATTTTAAATTACTTTTCAGTCTTGGTACACTGAGATTATAACACTTAAATTGGCTAGATTACCTATCTTGTTATGTTGAGGGAAATCCTGATCAGCCTTTAAATGTTTTCCAGATGTGCAACTTTCTGAATGTTCAGAAAAAATCAGGAAAAAAATAACGAAGTAGTATGGTAAAGTTTTCACTATTTCGAGGAGGGTGAAATCTGTTCTTCAAGGAGTTTAAATGAGGAGACATACTGTGCAGATCTGGGGAACTTCGTCAACTTTTTAAACAGACTTAACAAGAACTTTCTCTTTCAGCTTTCCACTGAATAATATTGTAATATGTCCAAGCAGGCTGCCCTTCAAAGTGCACTATTCCATGCCTGCTGTGGAACTTTCAACAATGACTGTTGCAACACAATAACTGGTGTTTGGTATCTATGGTAGGTTGACAGATATTATATTCATGGTTCCAACTATAGCTACTCACTCCATGTTTTACATAATCAATTTTCCTTAACATTACAGTTTAGCAATAATTTTAATGCTGATACTTGTATCATGTAATGACATTTTGAAGTCTCGATGTTACTTCATAGGATTTCCTTGGAGTAAATCTCAAGTTTATCTAATACATGGAAGTGCTGCAGATGATCAGTCTCAACTTCTTCTTGTGAGTGCAACAAACCATATGCCTTTTCACTTTCAAGTAGTATTTACATTTTACCACAAGGACCTTTCTCATTCATTATTACACAGGTATTTGATGAGGAGAGCGATCAGCTTTTGGAGGAAGAGGTCCGACCACCTGCACCGCCTCCCTACTCTATGGTCGACGAGACTATTAAAGCAAATATGCTCCTCTCTTCTCTTCAATAAAGTATATGAAAAATTAATCTTATCAGACAATATGTTTTGCAAACAATTGTAAGGCCGTTGTAAGCTTGCACAGAAATAAGAACCATAAGATTAATTCTTGAACTATTCTAAGAAGTTTTATTTAGCAAAACACAATGTAAAGACGGCTCTAGTAATAATAATTATATATTTTTCTTTCTTCAATTTGGATGAGTTGTGAGAACATACAGCAAATGGAATGATGTAATTTAATAAATAGAAAAATTCACATCCACAGCAACCTGAAAAAGAATTAAACTTAAGTATCTCAAACACGCTAAGATCAATCATTACATTTGATACAATAAAATGTTAGTAATACATACTGTAATAATTGTAAATCGGGCATTCCAGGGTCAGCTCCTTTCTTGAATCCTATGTAAAAAAAAAAAAAAAAATAACAGCACGATAACATGTGTTACAACATTTCACAAATTACGTTAGCTCAGTGACAGGTTATGGCAAGTTTAATGAATGAAAGTTGGCAAACTGTCGTGAACAGATATACGCAATCAAAAATATTGGATGGAAAGTAACTCTCTCCAGAAAGATTGAACGTGGACATAACTGATGTCTGATGAAAACAGGTTTGAGGCAACCGGAGACATGTGGGATAAGAAGCTACTCACCCATATAGAGAACGGTAGGCACAAAGCCCCAATGGAAGACGAATTTGGTGACGCCGAACACCATTGAAAGGCGCGCCTTGGTTTCTGTACTCATTTTCACCATTCTGATGGCTCAACGTGTTCTCAGACGTGTTTTAACTCGAAAATTAGATGAGATCCAAGGGGTCTAAAATTGGTTACTTTTTCTGCTACAATGACTTCTCGGTACGGGGGAGAAGTTTAGAGCAACGAGGAGATTGACGTCACGATCATGCTCATTTCTCCCCTTCGTACAATGTCTGATCGCTCTCCTCCTGCTTGCCCTCCCCCTTCCTACCCCCTCCCCTCTTTCCGTATGTCAGTCACGTTTCTGTTTTGGTTAATTTTCTCAATCATACAATGTGCACGCAAACCAAAAATTCTATGTAGAAGCAAAGTGTTTGTGCTCTGTACTTCTGAAAGTTACTTGATTGTTTCGAATTTTTCAGCTGTATTTAAGTTTCAGACGCAAGTTTTCTGACAATATTCGAAAATGCAGCACGACGATGTAAGTTTAGTCTTCCATGCCGCCGTATTTTTCTGTACCACACAGTAATTTGAAGTTTTTGCCTCCTCCCCATGAATGTGGCAGAAATTTTTCTTCAATCCAACAAATTTTTAACCTTCAATACTAAGTCGTTGGGTTGCTTTCATGTGTATATCATTTTAACTAACCACGTGAAAGTGAGGTTACCTTTGGGTATTTTAAGTTGTGTGACAATACTCTTCTTCTGCTTCAGGTTGTTTGGAGCGTTATCAACAAAACATTTTGTTCTTACAAAGTGAAGTGAGTGTTTTTCAACCATCAATGCAATTTTGTGAACTGATGTTTAATGTACTTATAATCGTTCCTTACGTTTGCAGTACAAAGACTCAGAGGTTTTGTAGAAATGAATATAACTTGACTGGTCTATGCAGCCGAGCATCCTGTCCCTTAGCAAACAGTCAATATGCGACAGTTAAAGAAGAAAATGGTGTCATCTTTTTATACATGAAAACTGCGGAAAGGTATTGTAGGCATTTTTAGTGTAATCTCAACATAGGCTTGACCACAATGCATTTCTTTTTATTGCTATCTTTGATTTATAGGTCAGCATTTCCAGGAAAAACATGGGAAAGAGTTAAATTATCTAGAAATTTTGAAAAAGCAATTGTACAAATAAATGAAAATCTTCTGTATTGGAATGGTTTTGTCAAAGCCAAATGCAAGCAACGATTTGTTAAAATCACTCAGTACCTCATCCGTATGCGCAAACTTCGTCTACGGAGACAGTAAGTTTTGTCTTGTTTTATTTACTTGTAATATTTTACGATTCTTTAACTAATAGAGTAAAACTTGAAACATTAGGAAGAAGCTGGTGCCTTTGCAAAGAAAAATTGAGAGGAGGGTCAACCGTCGTGAGGAGAAAGCTTTGGTTGCTGCTCGTCTTGAATCTGCCATTGAGAAACAGCTTCTGGACCGATTGAAAAAAGGAACAGTAAGTCTTAAAATATGCTCTTATTTTCATTACATGGTTGAAAGTTATGAGGTAGACCTAATATCCATCTTATCTTGGATCTTTCTTTACTGAAGTAGATATTGCTATTCTCTTTTTCAGTATGGAGATATATACAATTTCCCTCAAAATGCCTTTGATAAGGCACTTGATGAAGAAGTAGTTGAAGAAGAAGTTGATGATGAAGAAGAAGAGGAGGAGGAGGATGAAGATGAGGTAATTTTGTCTTAATTTCTTTATGTTTGTTGAGCGTGCTGGATGTAGTAGTGACATCCAACATCAAATATTTTACCAAATCACTTCAGTAAACCCCTAGCTATGGTTGATCAAACCCCAGGTTTACTGTTCTGCGGGCTTTTACCGTAACATACACATACAGCTGAAGTTAATAGTTATTACCTTTAAGCATATCTACGCAACATATTTTTCAATTGCCATGGCATTCTTTCTAGGATATGGAACTTGAAGAAGAAATTGAGAAAGAACTTGACCACGGTGAATCAGAGTTTGTTGCTGATACTGATAGTGATGATGATGATGATGACGACGACGATGATGTTGGTGTAAGTTATCTTTTTTTGTGAAAGTAGACTATTTACAATTCAATTTAAGCAGTGGTGAAGAATTACATTAAGTTTGTTCGTTTCTTTTAACTAATTACTCTGCCATTGTAGGCTCGTGAGGAAGTTAGTAGTCCTGAGGAATCTGAAGAATCAGATATTGAGGTATGTACTTTTTACTGTTACACTACACCCTGTATCTTTCAGTTTTTAATATTATTGCTTTCCTCTTTTCAGGACATTGCCAGTAAAGCACAAACATCTAAAAAGAAGATGACTAAATCAAAACGAAAACCAAGACCTCATATTGAGATTGAGTATGAAGTGGAAAATGAACCTCAGGCAAAGAATAGATTGACTAATTAGTTACATATTCCGCCCCAACATTCTGAAACAATATTTTTTGAACCTTTTCTGTGCCCAGTCAATTTTAATCTTTGTTCCTAGTTCATTTTTATTGTCATGTTCTTCTCCGGACAATTTAGTAGGTACTCAATAAAATAAACAGAGTTATGTAATTAAATTGTATAGATTTTCTACAATATAAAAATGAAGACTCAGAACCATTTGAAAATGCATGTATTTTTTGTTTCTACAAGTTAAAATACAGGCGATGTTCATCTGACTAAATGATATCACTTGACTTGGACCCTTACAGAACTTAACGTATAACACTTGTACATCTCATTGAAACAAAAAATAAAATAAGAGTCTAGTCTACAAGAAGGTCCAGATAAACAGATGTATATATAGGGATAGCCTAATGGGAACTGTATTAGACATCACCCATTAAAGAAGGTTAATTTAATGAGGGTGATATATAGGCAGTGAACAGCAGAAACATTCAAAAAAATATGAGTGAGTTGGGATTGTATTTGTTTGCAATCCTAATCCACAGTATGGAGCTCATAGTTCTATAGGTATTGAGAACAAGACACTAGGATTTTTTTCTTCATTCTTATAACAAGATACTAGCACAACTGTTCCCATGAGCAAAAAATCACATTCATAATACATATAAAAGAATTACTTACAAAACTGTCAAAAAACATAGCCTCAAAAGTGAACAATTGTCAACAAGTGATTATAATATAATTTCATTCATAATAAATTTGCCCCCAACACTCTACAAAATTGTGTGCGCTTTAACATGGAACTTCAAAATACGACTAGTTTCCATAAATACATATATATCTATAGGTTTTTTTATCAATATTAAAAACAGGTCCATAGAATTTTTATAGCAAGTGTTCCTGACGTCCATAATCAAAATTTGAAAAAAACAAAAACAAACAACAACAATAATACGTTGTGCTCTTTGCCAGTATGTTACAAGCTTTGCAGATATTACGCTATGGGTTGATCTTACGTATCTATCTCAGCCCTCAACAGGTATAAATGTGTTATCACAGTTAGCCCACATGTCTACCTTACTTTCAGAGTTCTTAAGTTATGACAAGATAACTTACTTTGTGGCACACAATGAAATATGGAAAAATGTGATGTATTCAACACAATCAACAAATGTTACCTGGTTGCTATGAGCAGAAGTTAAAATATAGGTCATTAGCTACCATTATTCTGACTAATATTACTTAAATAGTACACAATATGGACGCAATGAACATAGTTCATTAAATTTTTAAAGTGGAATGACTACCTTGTGGTAGAGAAAATAAAATGACCTGCATTCTAAATTAAAAGAAGGGATGGACTATAAGTAAATGCACATAATTTTAAGACACAAGCTTGAGTAAGCTCTAGTAAGGTAACATTTTGAAGGTGAGCACAGTTGCAAGACCCTTCAAGTTAAGCAAACCATTTGAAAATATAGTTCTGATCTTAAATCTTGAGCTTACATTGTGCTAGTAATAGGAAGGTTACATACATCTCACACTAATTCTAATCACAATAAAAATAATAAATTCTGGGTCAACAATGCTCTTCTTGATGATGAACCCTGTATGAAGAGATCAAGTTTAGCTCTTTGACAACAGGTAAGAAGTGCTATACCAGACTAAGTTGAGAAAATTGAAAACTGAAAGTAAAATACAGGAACAAGAATTCTCAACATACAATCAATGGCACGACTGCAAATTACAGCATAATGATCCTTCAATGACGAATGTCATCATCATGTTGTAATTTTAATAGATTTTGTCGAACATAAAAATGCAAGTAATTGTGCTCTTTAGATTGATTAAATGGCTCTAATGTGTTTTTCTCAAGTGACAACCTCCACAAGATACTCCTGACATCTTTCTCCATTAGCAGATCTGGTGATGGAGGAGGTACATCCAGTTCAGGTACATCTGAAATAAAACACAACGAACATAAAGTTACTCATTTTGAGTGGTTCCTAGCAGTCACGAGTTGAAGAAAACAAACAAAAAACTAACCAGTGGAGGTGTCATGCCGATGCTAACTGCTGGATGACCACATAGCCACCCATGTTGTGGGCCATGCCCACCGCATCATTAACTGCATTTTGTTCCATAACCACACTGGTACAGCACATGGATCAGTGTGAGCAAGTACCTTGCAGTAATGCTTCATATAATCAGTGAGGTATTGTTAAGAAAAATATTCAATTTTTGTAATATTAAAACAGGAGTACTTGTAAACATGACTGTCTAATATGTTTAGTACACCTTGTGTCAGAGCCACAACACAACAATGTTGTAAAGGTGGATCTCCAATGGAGCAATCTGCGCTACCCATCACCCATCATCCGTCACCCATCACTTGATATTTCGTGTATTTACGCGTACAACTCGGGTTGTGGTTAAGACTAAGGATGTGTGTGAACAATTAATATGACTATACAACTTATGATTGTATTTCGCGATGTAAAAACACGAAATCGCAAGTGATGGGTGACGGATGATGGGTGATGGGTAGCGTAGATTGCTCCATTGGAGATCCACCTTGAGTTTGCATACCCGAGTGGCCATGGTGCCTAACGGGTGGAGCAAGAAGCAAGAATACTGATACTGTTGTGTCATGGCCCTGACACATGGCATAGTTGAAAGCAGCATTAAAGGATATTAGAGACCCCACGGAGGATGACCTCCATTCACATAGAGGACATATGTGAATCCATCTTTACTTTTACCATTGATGTAATAATAATACGGAAGAAACGCATGCAGCCTGTAAAAATGTGAGGCAAAAGACAAAAAAATTTGAAGATAAAGAGAGATTTGTAACACTGACTTTAACTTACTTGAACTGATGTCGTTGGTAAAAATGAATGGCAGGTGAATTTGTGGTAAGGACATGAAGAAAGAGAGCCTTACAATGGGGATTATCTACAGATGTTAAATGTGAGATTAAATTATCAAGAAGAACAGATGCTATTCCATTGCGTCTGTGACTTTGACTAACACCAAGGCTCAAGAGGTAGGCAACTAAAGTATCTTTCCCAAATGTTGGTGCCAAAATATCTTCATCCTGTATCATCGAATTGCAGTCATCCATAGATTATAAAACCTAGAAGATAATCAATACAAAACTTAAGAAAAAAATACTGACTTCTTTGTTGAGCTCAGAGAAAGCCTTAATCTCTGCGACTATAAGCCCAATAATGACTCCATCATAGACAGCAGCAAGTGAGTAAAATCTTGGATTTGAGGTAATCTCTTCATACCAGTAATAAGGATAGATAATGGGAAACCAATCCGAGCAAAGTGCTTGCACCTGGACATAAAGCAGCAGCATTCTTTAAGTTGATAGCTAATAGCTCCCCTATCAAGAATCGTTTAATTGTATGACCATTACCTCTTGAATATCTGAAGGGCAAAGGAAGCGTAATTGAAGGTTGGACAAATTGCACAGCTTGCTGCATGGCTTTGGTGAATCTGCATACCTGTAAACAACAAATAGCGAATATAAATCTGAGGGTTGTCTGTTGGCCGCCCTAAGTTGCCAAAAAATATTTCAAAACAACATGAAACGGGGTGAATGAAAAATAATGTGTTTAAACTTCAACAAGGAGAGTACATAGTAGTATTGAGCTCAACTAGATTTTAAAAGTTCTTGGATAAGAAAAAATATCGATAAAAGTTCAAAAGCAGAGAGAAAAGAGATCAAACATTTAAAAACAATCAGGATCCAAGGTGAAAATATGTTGGAGAAATTTAATTATCAGGTTATGATATGTGATTGCTAAAAGCTTGAGAATTGCTTAAAATACTTTTAAAACAATGTTTGGGTGTGGCAAAAAGGACAATAAGCGCGTAATTATACTACAGACTTCGACAGAAAATAGAAAGAATGCTGGTTAACCAAACGTAAACAAAGGCACATACCAATCAAACCCAGCCATAAATCATTAGATTTTTTTCCTATAACAGGGGTTAACTAAAAAGGTTTAGAGAAATCTTATGCCGACATCAAACTGCCAGTATTGCGGTGACTAGGCTATGTAGCGCCCCCTCAGCTTCGGAACATGATTAGCACTCTTCTTGTCATCCCACATCGCGCTTCAACAGGGGTTAGGTTACTCTGCTTGTGTCAGACTAGTGCTGTCGAAGTCTTAAGCAGAATATTGACAGACAAGCAGCTGTTTGGACAGAGGGAAGTACCTGTACCTATATATTTGTCGATGATTGAAGATGACATACTACAACGAAGGCAGTCGGCTATGGCGTTGCCTGGCAATAATCAACATCCCTTAAATTATCAAGTACATACGACCGAATAAAAACACAAAAAAAATATTTTTAAAAAAATCGCAAAAGTAAATGTAAATTGAAAAACAGAATCGGGGGTTTGCTGAGATTAGCACCCTCTCAACGTGAAACATGGCACCAAAAAGAACTACAAAGCGCGAGAAAATATTGGACTTAAGCATGGATCAAACGCGTGGGGGTCATGGTGGCGCACGGGGCAGCATAAGTCATCAGCCAAGTCAACGACTCCGCGCGGGCGCCAACTCCAGGAGCACGACGGCCCTAGCCGTGCGCACCCCGCGGCCCCACCGGGAAGGGCAGGACCAGGATGATGGGGACGAGGCCCGGGGCGGGGCGGCTTCCGTCGTCCCTTACTCGTCGCCGGAATCGGGTTTCAGGTACGGGCCATCCCGGAGGGCTGTCCTGCTGCCACTTGCCCCCGCTTAGTACGACGACCATTCCGCAGGGGCTACACGTTCGAGGTGGGCGAGGCGCTCAAGGACATGCGCCAGGACCGGGAGGTCAAGGGCGGGCTGATGGGTCCCCTGAGGGCTGTGGCGGAGTTCGAGCGCGCGCAGGAGCAGCGCAACGAGGCCTTTCGCCTCTGGCTCTCGGACGTCATGAGGAAGGAGAAGGAGTTGGCCAAGAAGGCCGCCTTCACGGGTGAGCCGGGGCGGGGCCGCTCGGGGCGTACTCACCCGTCTTAGCAAAGACACATACTGACCCCACCGACGCGCCCTTCACAGTGATCAAGCGGCGCGACCAGATGCTGCAGGAGGTGGGCCCGGACTGGTTCCAGCAGCTCTCCTGGGACCAGATGCAGACCGTGAACGCGCTGCACCCGGCGCACCGCGCGGACGCCGAGGAGGGCGGCGCGGCGCGCGTGGCGCTCTGGTGCGGCCGGCTGGGCGTGTCGCCCATCCCCAGCCCCCGCCAGATCCGCCGCGCCCTGCGCCAGCAGCCCGAGGACCACGAGGCCTTCCTGCTCGCCCTGTACGCCGTCATCAGCAAGAGCGGCAAGACGCCCGTGCCCGGGGACCCGCCCGCCCCCAAGCTCCGTGAGTCTCAGCGCCCGCGGTGATAGGCATGCCCGCAGGACGGCCGTGGCGCGCGGCGCGGCCTACCCTACCCCTCGGCCGGCAGCCTCCTCCTAGCGCCTGCTGTGTGCCGTCGCAGGGACCGGGTTCGAGTACACGCCCAGCGAGCGGCTGATCCTGTCCGCGCTCGCCCATCTGCGCCTGCCGCACGTCATCGGCAAGCTGGTCGAGCAGTTCGGCGAGCCCGAGAAGAAGCCGCGTTACTTGCGCATCAATCCGGAGGGTGAGTGCCGGAAAAATCGCGTCTTGTGGTGGATGGTCGGATATATAGCTATATAGACCAATCCAACCACCTCGTCGTTGCCGCCCAGTGCCTGGCCAGCGAGCTAGACCGGAGCGGTACCTGTGGCCCTACCTGGAGCCGCTGCCGGTGCCGCAGATGGACTGGCTGGAACTGTTCAGCGCCAACCACACGGCCTACGTCGAGAACCTGTACATGCGCTCCCACAAGCTGCCCAGCACGCTGATCGCCGAGCTACAGGCCAAGCCTCAGCTGCGTGTGACCATCCCCCCACAGGCCGGCAGGCCAGCGGTACGGCCCCAAAATGACGATCGAAGCGACACCCTGTTTCTGTTCACTGTGCTGTAGGGGGGGGGGGGGGGGCTGCACCACCCTGTCCCCTTTCCCTCGCCACATACTCCTCTCGTCCCCACAGGTGCGGAAGAGGAAGCCGAAGAGCAAGGACCTGCCGTCCGAGGACCTCCCAGCCGGTGAGTAGAAACGCGTACCGTGTAGCCACCGTGATGGACTCGCCCATGGTCCGCGCGAAACACAACGCAGCTCTGCGGGGAGTTCCTCGAGAACAAGCAGCGCGTCACACTGGGCTCGCTGTAGGGCCGCCGCACTTGTGAGGGTGGCTCACCGGTGCAAGCCGCGGCCAAAGGTCCAATGCCGAGCCGTGAGAAAGTCGCTCGCCAGGCCAGGCAGGCGGGGGGAAGCGGGAAAGATACCGACCGGCCTGGCCGCACGCCCGATTCCGTCGCGATATCGGGAGCGAAGTTTCGTCTCGCGTCGCACCTTCCAAGTCGATGAGTGTTTTCCCGCGCTGATGAGTAACTGGTCGTTTGTTCCGCCAGACACCCCCGGCGACCGCGTGGCCGCACCGGTGCAGGTAAGCTGAAGCATCCCGGGTGCTATGTCTCCGTCGGCTACCTCCGTCTGATGTCGGCGTCGCTCCCGGTGACAGGCGGACGACGACGAGGGCGCGGAGGCTCCGTCCCGGAAGAGGGGCGTGGGGGCCAGGAGCGGAGGCAGCAGGGGCAGGTCGGCGGCGGTGTCGACCGTCAGGACGCGGACCGTGGGGTCCTCGCCGCTCAGGGCGCCCGCCGAGCGCCCCAAGCGCCCCAAGCGCCCCGCCGCCAAGAGGGACGGGGCGGCCGGCGAGGCCGACGACGACTCCCCGGGAGTCGACCCCGCGAGCGTAGTGGTGAGCCTCGCCCACCAGCCATGAGCCGAGGCGGTCGCTGGCGCACTGCTTGTTGCTCCGACCCAGTCCCGCTGGCGCGACACAATAAACTGCTTGTGTCATCGCTTCCTCGCTTTGTCGCGCCGCCACACTGACGCACAGACAGACCCATGAGTCTTGCGGCTGCCTCCCCCGTTTTGACGAAACGTCTAAAAAGGAAACGCGCCTACTACACGAAGAAAGTGTGGAAAAAGTCGTCTGGAGGTGTACAAGAATCTGAAAGTGGCGTGTGCGCTTAGACATGCGTGTGCGCTCCCCTTACAGAGCTTCCTGGAGTCCCTCGCGTCGGAGGAGCCCCTGTGCCAGCTGCCCGACGTCCACCGCATCCCCGCCATCCAGAAGTGGGTGCGGCTCCGCAACGGGTTGCTGTACGTGCACCGGCGGTTGGCAGGTGGGTGTCGAGATCCGCTTGGTTTTCTACACCCCTCTCCTCCTTTCGCACTCACTCAAATGAAAGGGCGCGCGGGTGTCGAAGTATTTCACCAACCATTTTTAATCTCGAATTGAAAATGATACCCGTGTTCCATTTGTGTTTCCGTCGGCAGAGGTGCTGGAGGACCGCAGCCTCATCATGTGGAACGCCAACCACCTCGGCATGTCCTACCGAGTGCCCACCCCGCGGCACGGCCTCACCCCCAAGCAGGTCCGGGAGCTCACGTGGGACCGGCGGGAGTGGTACCGCCGCAGGGTGAGGAGCACGACGACGGGGAGCTGGATCAGATCGTCATATTACCGGGGGAGCTAATGAGTCTTGAACACCGACCCCCGGCCCGGCAGGTGGACCGGATCATGCGCGGCTACAACACGGCCCTGCGCACCATCCAAGTGAACGCGGCGCGGGAGATGTTCCCGGCCATGGCGTGCGACTACTTCCCCGGCAGGGACAAGTTCCTCAAGACGTACTTCGCGTACATGCCCAAGCACGAGATGGACCAGCCGGTGGTGAAGCCCTGGAACCCGGGCGAGTACAACCAGAGCATCCTGCCGCGGTGGAGGGACCGCTACTACCAGTGCAGGGTCTCGAAGTGAGGCTGCCTGCTGGAGGTAAGGAGGTGTCGCCTGCTGCTCTGAGGAGGATGGCCCTTTGTGTGTCGTCACGTGTGACGAGCGTGCAGGTCCACGCGGCGCGGTGCACTAGGGGAAAGCCCATTATGAGGTGTTGGTACGGGCGTGTCACGGTGACGTCACATGACGTCACAGTTGCGCTACAGGAAGGACAAAAAACTAGGCCGCAAACACTGTTTGTAAAAGAAAATGGTTGGAGACTTTTATTGAGCAGTTTGTTCGATGGGCATTTTTTTTTACAGATTTCACACAACCATTCATTTGGGTACTCGGTGGCAGAGGTGGGTTCGCGACCGGCGGACTGCTTTCGACTCAGGGTGAAAAAATAAGTTACAAAAGCCAAACGGCCCGGGTTGTGCCCGCGAGCCGCTACCTGCGGGCGCAGGAGTACCTCAGGTCGCAGCGCTCGCCGCGACGCCCGTACTCCACCGCGTCCACCAACCCCTCCACGATGTGGTCGTACTTTGGGTCGTACGGGATCATCCTGCGCAGGAACAACATAAGAGTAAGTCCCCGGAGGTTTTGTAGTGGTTGGGGGTGGTGGTGGTGGTGGATAGAGTGAACATGGGGGATACTTCACTCCAAAAATAATCGTACACACACAAAACTTAAAAAATAAGGAAACATCGAGAAAAAAACATTTTTAAAAAATAAAAAAATATCAAGAAAAAACAGAAAAATCGGTGTACGCTTGAATTAATAGTGAAGTACCCCCTTCAGATCTCCACGTCCTCGCTCACCCGTTCAGCAGCTTGGCGCCGTTGGACAGCAGGATGCCCGCGCGCGCGTAGCTGTTCGCGGCCTCGGGCTCCTGGCACGCCACCCGGTTGAGGCAGCGGTAGCCGTCCCGGTCGATGCGGTCGCTGTGCGGCCCGTGGGGGCCGTGCGGTCCACCCTGGCCGCCCATGAGGAAGCCGAGCAACAGCAGGGCCTCCTGCTCCGTGACGAGGGGCGCGGGCCCAGCGCTCTCGCCGCCGCGCGACGACTTGCCCGCCCAGCCCACGCCCATGTGGCCCGCGCCGAAGATGATGGCCTTGAGCACCAGCAGGATGACCAGGTTGGTCAGGTTGAGGCTCAGCACCTGCGGGAAGACGATTCCGCCGGGTCACTTCCACGGCGAGCTCTATTGCTGCGATAACTGGGACTTCCTGCGTTTGTGCACTCACCTGACTGCTGGTGGCTGATCGGCTCAGGAGCTCGCGCGCCATCTCCGCCAGCACGGCCCTGCCCGCCCCGGCGCCGCGCCCTCCCCGCTCCGACTCCTCCACGGCGTTGGACTCCTCGGCGCCGTCGGGGACGTGCGCCCCCGAGGCCCCCGTGGCGGCCGCTGCTCCCAGCAGCAGCGCCAGCGCCCACGTCACCGCAGCGCGCCGACCCAACAGCATCCTGGTCAGCGACAAGCACTGTGAGTTCGTGGCATCGTATTCACAACCCGCCCCATTAACGATTTACACAGCAATGTCTCGACTCTCTGCGGGGTAACTTTTCACAACGGCCTCTCAATAAGGCGTTATCCGTCATGGGAAAAGTACCCAACCCTGTCTGATTCGGTTGTTATGATAGCAAACACTTATTCGGGCGGTTAATGTAATCACAAGATTGGTTCGTGTGGAAATGCACTCTACTTTACCTGCGTGAATATTTGCGAGAGGTGCACAGTGTCGACGCTGACGCGACGTAGTGCCGGACGGGAATCCGCAGGCCGCGTCCTGGCGCCGCTCTTATAGTGGCTCGCCGCCGAGGAGGCGGCGCCCGGGGCCCGGGGTGGCGGCGGAGGGGGCGTGAACTGAGGCGTGATCGTCTTCTTGGGGGGCGTGCGCGCGTCGCGTGCGCGGAGCTGACGAGGGCGGGCGCGGGGGCGTGACCAGGCAGCGTGCAGTGTTTATGACATAGGGTGGCATCTCATTCGGAATAGGTCCAGCCTCCAGCGGAACGTGTACCGGGCACCTATCCCTCCGAACGAATTTTCGGCGCAGGGTGACTGTGACTGAATGACAAAACACGTTTCTGCCCTGTCTTGATGTTCATTCTCATGATCAGTGAGAAAGTGTGTTGTTATGTTGTTTTTTTTTGGTGGTGGTGGTCGTGGTGGTGGGGATTTGGGGGCTACGACCACTGTGTGGTCATACCGCTCTTCTTTGTGGACATGTTCGTACTTTCTCCCTCATCCCCTCAGACTCCTCAATCCCATCCTTCTGTGCCTCAAAGGCAGTGTGCAAAGAGCCTGGCTAAAAGCTAATCCGAAGAAGCCCGCCGTGACCCGCGAATGCCCTACAGTGCCGCACACTTCCGCGTGGCCCTCCTCACACCGCCCGCAGCCTCCTGACAGGACGGACGGGTCTTCCCTTTCTCTATTGTTGCCGCGCCCCGGAACAGCGACAAGTCCTCGACTGCCTAGACGCAGCGCAGCGCTACGCCACGCCTCCACTCGCGCTCTACATACCGTGCTGTAATACTCGGCATGGCGGTCATGCCGCACGCTACACACCCAGCTGTTGTTACATACGTTCGTTGATCTTGATCGTTGAGGTGATACCAGATGTGCGGCGTCACTTGAAACTTGGCGCCCAGGACCAGAGTGACGTCACGCAAGCTACTTCCGTTCCGATTCCTGCCCACAGGCACAGGCACACATCATCTTCATCCATCAATTGTTTTGTTTTTGTTTTGATCTGATCTAGGTTCGATTCTTGATTGGTGTCGGTTGTTTGGAGTCCGTACTTGATAGCAGCAGGTAATGTCCGTTTTATTTCTATTCAATGTTCATATTTTGATGCGCTACTTCATCAATACGGTACTTTAAGGACGAACAAAGAGGACATTTTCTCCGAGTTGTCGTCTGTCGGCGCCATCTCGGGACGGGATAGGCTATGCCCTATTTTTAGCCTAGTTCGGCAAGCGGTATTCGATTTCCCGTTACATCTATTGGGCAAATGTCAGATTTTCTGTCTATTCGTGCATCAAAATTCGACGCTGATTTTAAACCAGTCAAGATAGTTGATTTACTCGCTGAGAGGACTGTTCCTGGACACTTCAAACCATTTTCAAACTTTTGAAACATCTATATCATAGTGATTAGCTACTAGTGAATGATGAATGTTGAATCAGAAGATGAAATTGTACTCTTCGTTAAACTGGGCTATGATGGCCACAGTTTGGGTGCATGTCACCAGAGTCAACGAGTAAACATGCTTTCACGTTTAAAGGTGAGACTTGTCAAATTTTGAGGTTAAGTATTTCCAGCTAATCAAGAATTATTATCATCGTTAAATTTTAATGCTGATATTAATGAAGTTTCAAATTATTGTTTTGATTTTATATATGATATGGTATTAAGGGCATGACGACGTAAGTCTCTTACCAAGCTCATTCTTTTCCTAACATTTCTGTTCAGGCAACGGCACAAGTGATGCCCTCCCCTCGAGTTGTACCCGTCAACACGGCCAAACCCCCTAAAGAATTTTCTGACTTGGACTTGAGACTACGGCTTCCTGTCCTCCACATTATTCTTGCCACTGAGACAGATGGACTGGAACCACTGGACTCTTCTGATGATATTGTTGTAGCCCTAGAATCAAAATACCCAGGAGGGTTGTGTGCATGTAGTAGCCAATGTGAAGCGGAAGCAGATCAAGCTTCAAGGTACTCATACTGTTAGCCACTCCAGTTTTGAAGGAATGACTTAATAATATATTTCCACAAACTCACTATAGTATTTTCCTCTTTGTATTTCAGAGACTTTTTCTCTAAGTTTTGCTTTCTTGTTCGTGGGGTAGCTAAAGAAAGTTCACACTTAGAATCTGAACTTCAAACCCTTGACAAGTTTCTTCAAGATTCAAGTGGAGAACGCGGCGAAGGAGGCTTTCTTTGTGGATCAAGTCCTTCATTGCTTGATTGTGAAATACTCCCTAAATTACATCAAGTTCGTGTAGCTGCACAAGCCTTGAAGGGTTAGTAATTCTTATTTTGTACTATTGCCTTACTATTTGTCATTCCCAAATTTAATTATTAACTTTTTAATTCTAGGATATTCTATACCTGCACACTTCTCAGCACTGTGGCGCTACCTTTATGCAGCATACAGTTGTCCTGCATTTACTGAATCATGTCCTCCTGATCATGAAATAATTTTGCACTGGCTAGAGCATTGCGGTACTCCTGAAGCAATGAAGCAAAGTCGCAAATTACTGTCACAGATTGGAAGTGAACGTCATCAGCCATCTTACTCTTTTAGTATTCCTGCCAAGGCAACTCCTGTTGTTATTGATGACTAAGTTTTTATGGTTGTGAGCAATCATCAAAGAAGTCTGGCCTGTAAACATTCTAGCCAAAGATCTACTGAAACTTAATTATTGTCCATGCTTTAACTGAATCAGCTGTGATCATGAATCAGAAGATTTGATATTTTATGATTGCATTAATTTATTACACTAATAACTGCATGTCCAGGCAATCCTAGTCTATTTTTGTGTTTCTGTCCAAAGCTTAGTTTTTTAGAAGACTTTTTAACACTTAGATAGCTTATAACATTTCTATTTTTGGAGTTCTTTTACCATAATTGTTGACCTTGTACTAATTTTTTTTGAAAGTTTATCTTTTAAACCCCTTATCTAGGACTGTAAGTGTTATGCAGATCTCTTAAACAGAGTTAAATCTGTAGTTGCAAAGTTTATCATAATTTTGAGATTCTCAAATAAAATATTTAGCATCCTACCCACCAAAATATTGCCCTTGCTCTGACCATATAGTTTTATCAACAGTATTTTATTTTGTTATCTCATTTTGCCATCAACACAATGTTATGTAGCATAATTTTAACATAATTGACTGCTCTCTTCATTTGCTGCTAGTTACTTTGTAAGCTTTAAATCTCTTACCCCCAGGAAATGTTTGTTTTCCTAGAATAACCATGACAGTATTTATTTGCAAAATATTGTAAGACCCAGGAAATATGTTCTATTTCTAGTCAGATTGCTTTGTTCAATTAATTCAAGTGATCTATCTCACTATCATGTATCTCTTATCTGTTCTCTCTGAGATGTGAATCACTAACATGATCTTCAGCTTTTCAAATATTTTATGTGTTATTAACCCACCGCTTTATTTTCTTTTGTGTGTTTGTCATTGTTTTTTTATCTCTATTTATTTTTGATGTGTTGAGCATTGTACTTGTAACCCAGTGCTATGATATAGTTTTTGAGCATAATCTTTTGTTGATTTGCACTTGCCAATTTTGACTGTAAAATTGAGTTGAATATTATGGTGTTTGGTATTGAATGTTTGTCTCCAGAAATGCATTTTCTGGGCCATAGTTCCCCACCTGTGCAGTTATATCTTGTATCTCATTTGTATTATCATGTTTCCCACCATATATGTGTCTTATTGATTGTGCAATAAATTTTTATCTGTATCAAAATGGGGTTTATTTTAATTTTTTCCTTGATTCAAAATGAATAAAGCCTTGTAATATCAACATTCTACTTGTTCCTTTCTATTGTTTCAGGTTTACTTTATCGACGTTCAAGCACAATTTTACTCAACCATGAGTGGTGCTTCAGGAACCTCCGGTGGCTCACAGGGGGATACACCACCCGTCACTCCCATACCAGATGCTCCAGACTCTCCCAGAACTGCTGGACAGCCATTGTCAGACTTCCTGATGCAGTTAGAGGATTATCAGCCAACGGTAGGTTCAAACAATATTGTCTTTGGTGTTCAAGTTAGTGTCCAATTTGTTGTTAATAAAGTTGTCTTGTCCCTCTTAAGATTCCTGATGCAGTCACAGGCTTCTATCTTAACTCAGCAGGATTTGAAGCTACTGATCCAAGAATGTAAGTGATCATTTGATCAATTTTAAAAGAAATTATATTCAATCTAGGCTTGATAATAACAAAGGCGATTCTGACTTACAGAGTTCGCTTAGTCTCATTGGCTGCTCAGAAGTTTATTTCTGATGTTGCAAACGATGCCCTCCAACATTGTAAGACAAGAACATCAAATCAAGCCAACAAAACCAAGGGTAAAGATAGAAGGTAAGTAGCCAGAGTTATTTTGATTATAATTATTTTAGTTTTTCTGTTTTAATAATAGATTTGTTTTTCATTTCATTTAATGTTGTTTAAGGTTCACTCTCACCATGGAAGACCTCTCGCCCGCCTTAGCTGAATATGGTATCACAGTCAAGAAGCCTCACTATTTTATGTAAATACTAATACTGAATCTAATTTTAAGTGTAATCTCTGGACTTCATAAAAAAGCATTCATCAAACCAAGACTTATTAGGGGAAAACCTGTCAAATAAATTTACTTAGTAGAACTGACTTCTCACCTTGTAGTTCATTCAAGTATAGTATGCACATACTTAGTCCAGCCAGCCCCCTGCCTTGGTAGGTACCCCGGCACAGCGGGGCGCCACCCCATCCTCCAGAGATTCCCGGCTGGCGTCCACCGGGGGATGGACGCCACCCGTCCAGTTCAGTCTCGGCGCGAGCGTCGAGTGGAGAGGTCGAAGCCTGGTGCGCGCGCCGCACCACCCCCTTTGTGCCGGCGGCCCGCGTCCTCTCGCACGCTGCGCGGGACCGCCCCGCCTCGCGCGCCCCGCCGCCCCGTCTCGCGATTAACCGCGCTGCAGGAGAGTCCGAAAGAGTTCGCGTCCGTGTTTCGGTGATTGAAAATTTCGGATAACGACATCATTAGCAACCATCTCGACGGTAATTATTCAAAAAAAAAAAAAAAAAGGAAAAAGAAAAAAAAAGAAACAGAAAAAAAAACAACTATATTTTTTTTTGCATATTTTTGGGGCGCATGCAAGAGGCAAGGAGCTTGGGTCAACTGTACCGTATGCGAATCTTGAAAGCTTAATTCCGTGAACTAACTCAAGGGAATTTCTTACAAATTAACTGAATTCAGCTTAACATCAAAGTCAAAATTTCCTTTGGAACGGAACTACTTTTTGACGTGAAATGAAAGGTACGTCTTTCTGGGTGCACTTGACTGATTCGCCATTCGCCCCACCCACTTCCGTAGGTAGACTGTACCGCGCACCCACGCGTGTGGGCGGGTTTTCCTATCGTCACTGACCATGGTGCCTTAAGAAGCCACGAGCGAGTAGCCAATTCTCCCCCGATCTATATATGAAATGAAGACGCGCAACTCGGATTCGCTTTTCTTTTTTTCTCCGGGGCGGCGGGGGGTAGGGGAGGTGAGAGGAGTCGCACCTTCGGTCCCTCTCAGAGGACCTGCACTGCAAATTGCCCTACCCTTGGGGCGTCTTATTAAGGGTGGTTTTGGGGGAGAGGTGCGTGACCCACCGCTGCGCGTATTATACGCGCCTGGTCACATTTAGCCGCGGCGAAGGGCGGGTCGCCTCTCCTTTCATTTCTGACTAATTTCCCTTAATTGGTGGGGCGAGGCTGACGCTGACACACAGCGCACAGTCTCAAAGAGTCTGGCCTTCACGCCTGCTGTCGCCCGCCCCAGCCCCGCGCGTTTTCCGAGATTTTAATTTGAGCTAGGAGCGTCGTGGACTGGGTGGCGGGTGGTGGGTAGTCTAGCGACGCTCATGACGAATCGTTTTTAATTTCCACACCTTTTGCGCCCGCCCCGCCTCTCATTCTCCGGGCGGGGCGGGGGCGGAACGGGGTCGATGGGAGCAGTACGAATACAACGGCGTATTCAGGGTGCGGTACCGTCCCGCCCGAGGTTGCTGCCCCCCCTGTCGTGCTATAAATCTCTTCGGTGTCTTCTCGAACTCACCTTGCTCGGACACTCACGGCGAACAAAACGCCTCGCGCGGGCGGTAAAGAGAGACTCGGAGAGAAAGACGCCTTAAATCAGCGCAGCCGAGGATCCCGACGGGGCAGGGAAGCCGCCGCGCCGCCGTCCGTCCTGCGGGTGACCCCCCCGAGGCCCAAGGGTACGTATATGAAGGCTGAAGGTTGTGAGGTCTCGAGGGAGCCTCAGCGCCCCCACCGGCCCACCGGACGGGCCCCGCCGCAGCTCCACTCTCTGCTCCGCTCGGCCAGAGCTCCGCTGCCACAAGCAATCTCGATATCTATATCATACGTAAGTCAATAAAAACGGACAACATAAATTAATCGCGCTGCTCGCCTGGCCGGCCCAGACCGACCGACCGGACCGACCTCCCCCCCCCCCTTTTTTTCTGCGCCGCTGGTGTGCTGGGGTAGCAGCAGGGTGGCCCTGGCCCTGTCCCCTCCAGCAGCAGCCCCCGGCGAGGCCCCCGCGCCCCGCCCAAACATCCCCGCGGGGGGCCGCAATGACCCCCACACATGGTGCAAGGGTGACACACGGGGGTGCAAAGCAGTACGCCAGGGCCAGCAGGGTTATTGGAAATGGGGGGCCCCCTAATTTCTTGCTGCTGCGGCCGCCGGGGCGGGGGGTGTGCCGCGCCGGGTGGACGGAAGCGATGCGAGGGGAGGG